ACTTTATTAGGCTTATATGGGGCGTCGTGATACTGAAATGATCTTCAGGGATGTCCAGCCTTGATATCAGCTAGCTGCCACGTTTCACACATTCATTTCATTTAATTTTGGTTTGACGAGGGGGAAGAGGCCAGAGGGGAGACACATATGGGATGCAAGATATTGGGACAAAATTTACAGCACAGAGATAGTTTGTTTAAGGGTAAGCTAGTAAGAAGAGTAAGTAATAAGAAGAGTAAGTAATAGACTAATGAAGTGAAAATGACAATGACGATAGAGGAAAGGGAGAATAATTTTAATAGAAAAGTTTTTATGTTGGTTATTGCTAGTTCCAATTTATTGCACAGTAGTTTTGTACATTGGTATCGCAACATTGTTAGCTGCCAAACACTAGAGAATACTTTTTCCACTTTATATTGTACTTCTATTATAGTTTTTTCTTTTTATTTGCTTTTTCTTTACAAATATGTTTCTATGCCCACCCGGCTGCCTCTATTCTCACCAGCCTTTTCTTCTCCCTCCATCTCCATGCACCCTTCAAAAAAACGCTTTCCACTATCAGTCATGTCATGTCAGTCATAAATTACATATTCTCACTCACTTTTCAACCTATTTCTTTCATTCTTTGACATCCCATTTTATTCCAGTTACACCCTGTACAGTCATTAACCATTCATCGCTTATTCTGTTATCCATTTACTCACCCTCATGTACCACAGGTACCTACATCTTTCGCGCCCAACGCTCATCATTCATTCCTGCTAGTCGGTACTTATATCTCTCCCACCCATAATTTTTAGCTCCGTACACAGATTTCTTCTTTAACTCACGTTGTTTATTAAAAAGAGTTTACAACCATTTTATAACGGCTTTTCCTGGGCCAACAAAGAGCAATACCGACTCAATACCGACAGACAGCATTCGATAGTTGATACCAGCGAAGGCATCGAAGTTCACAGAATGTAAAGGGCAGGGTGGCCCAGTGGTTACAGCTCAGAGTACCAAGATTGGCGCAGAGAGGCGCGGGTTCGATCCCAGCTCTATGCGCCAGTTTCTGGTCAGAATCGGCAAGGAGGCCGGGCGGTTAAGCACAGCAGAATTGTAGCAGTGAGTAGCGAGTTCGAGACCGCAAAATGCTGTGAATGTTCTGCGATGTTAAGAATTGGCGACAGGCCTACGGCCTACTAAACGCTGAAACCGCTATTTTTATTAAACAAATCCAAAGCCTCTGATTGGTCAGTTAGCCAGATGGTTTTGATATTACCCTTTTAGCTAATGAATGTGTTAGAAGAATGTGTTATAAATTCTTTGATTATGGAAGCGGTCATGCCAGAGGGTGCAAAAAAGGTAAGGATTGCCCCTTCTATCATCCTACGCTGTGCTGGAGTATCATGAACTGAGAGGACTGCACGAGAAAAAACTCGTTTACACCACATCAAATCAAGAAAACAAAGTGGAGAAAACGGCAATAGAGCGAGAATCAATGGTAGGCCCTCACAGCAAATGGCGATGCCTTCCGCACAGCCCGCCCCTCGCGCTCAGGGAAGACAGAGCAACGCTGAGAGAAACACCGTTGGAAGGAGCGGTGAGGTACGAGGTGGAAATGAACGGAGTCAATAGAGAAGGGAAGGCGACTTAGCTAATCTACTGAGTAGCCGATGTATACGGGGCAGAGAAGCACGTGAGGAGCAAGAGGTTACCCTCAGTGCTTTTTTAGACATGAAGGACCAAATGCAATATCAATTGGAAATGATGCAACTCCAGATAAAGGAGCTGCTGGGTCAGGGACGCCTGGCAGATCGGTGTCGCTGCAGGTAAGAACATCAAGAAGGGAAGAGTCTGGCATCCTGCTGGCCAATATCGAGGGACTCTTCCCACGAAGAGTGCGCCACAAGATTGGCGTGCTGAGAGAGATGGCCGACGAAGGTGGGATCTTTATGATTGCAATAACGGAGTCGCACCTAAGGAAGGATATACTGGATACAGAAATTACAATGGAAGGATTTCAACACTATCGTGCTGATCGAATTGGAGGGAGGAAGAAGGGAGGAGTAATTGTTTACCTTAGGAACTCCCTCGCAAGAAGCACGGTGGAATTGAGATCGGAATCTTGAAACTCTGACGGATTTGTTGAACACGTACTACTCCACATAATAAAACTTGACCTCTGCGTAGCTATAGTCTATAGGCCGCCTGCTTGCCCATCGGAAAATTTTAGCAAAACCCTGGAGGAAATAGAAACCAAGGTGGCTGGACTGGATGAACCAGCCCCAGCCTGACAATGGGGGAGACTTCAATCTCCCACGAATCCGTTGGACAAGCCCTGATGGCTTAGAGATCGGTGACCGCGACAGAAGTCAAGAAGCCAAACTAGTGAAGTTCGCTGCGGAACACTTGCTCAGTGAGCAGGTATGGTTGCCGACAAGGGAACGAAATATTCTCGATCTCTTCTTTACTGATAATTAATGAATGGTGGTTGACGTCCGGGTTGAAGAAACCTCCCTGTCAGACCACCGACTGGTGAGGGTGGATACGACCATTGGAACTTATACCCAGCCCAGGGCTATACTTCAAAATGGACTGGCAGGACTCAACTTTCACCATCGAAGAACAGATTGGGAGGCAATATGCACACTGTTAGAAAAACCACCGTAAAAAAACGTTCCCACTGGCGTTACAGTGGCCGGTTACTTACCGTTAAATTAAACGGTGGGAACGTTTCCCGGGAGAAAACGGTTTGCCCGTTATTGTATTTAAATAGCTTTTTTTAGCAGGTTCATACTATATAATCGGGTTTTTACAAAGGCATAATAAAGAACGAAAGAAATTGGGTCTAATATTTATTTTTGGTTGAAATTGAAATTATACCATTTGAAATTAAACTAATTATATTAATAATTACCTACTATTGAATTAGTACGGTATTACTATTACTAATTGAAATTTATAATAATTTCATTTTATTATAGTGATATGATTACGAACATCATCTCATGGGGTCTTCCTAAGACAATGTCCTTCCGTGCTGGGTAAACATGATGTAAATTGATAGATGCCTCATGATTAATGGTAGAAAATAGGTCGTATTTTACATAAAGATGGGTAGAAGAATATTATTCCCAATTTTGCAATTCCTATTTAAAATTATGTTTCAAGTTCAAAATGAAAATTCTGCGCGGTGAATCAAAAGTGAAATCAGTTCTATAAAATTCCGAAGACCAGATCAGAAACACAAAGGGTCTACAAGTATCGCTGTGAGATATTCTTCACCGATCACTGAATAGAACTCGTCCCTATATCAGCTCAAGTGAGACGCACATAAGTACCTAGCTAAAAACCTAGTAAATGATATAAAATGCACTTCAAAAGTGCAACAGAAGAAACATACAATACAACTGGAAGCAAAATAAGAGACAGTGAGGACCAAGGTATTAACGGCCGTACAATAGCTCTCCCATAGGTATTTCCGCATGTAAGCTTTAATGTTATGCAATTAGAGATGCGTACAAAGAACCTAGTTTACTAATTTCGATGTCGAACCCAAAGCTTCGGCCTCCGGTTTCAATTTTCTCCTCATGATGGGAGAGGTCAGAAAGACTGCAGCCTGGAGATGACTCCCACAGGAAGGAGACGGGAACGTCCGTTGTAATGACAGGCAGGCGAAGAGGTGCTCAGTGGAGCGGAATGGTTCCCCCACAACTCGAGAAGAACCGCGCTTGCGAAGGGCCCCACCTTGAATGTGAAGGACCCAAGGTGCCTACAAAAGCACGAACGTTGCTAATCCAGCTCGGAGTGGTAGGGGAGCGGGAGCATTACTTTCTCGGGGGCGCCCTGGAGAGGTGGGGCGGCCAGGACCCTGAGGAGGTGAGGCGGTCCGGACTCTGGAGAGGTGAGACGGCCTGTATCCTTTTCTTCTCGGCGGTCCCCGCGGTGTTGGAGGCGATGGCCGTGTGATGGGTCCGTAAATGCTCCACATAGGAGCCTGCTGGCAGGCAGCCACCTACCAATACTTTGACAATGAAATGACCAAAGCGGGACAGCAGGACAACCTTCACGAATCTTTATACTGGAGGGGCAAAGACAATCGGGAAGAATGAGCGTGGGCTTGGAGGGCGCTCGCCAGGAACTCAGCAGAATCTTCGCCGTGGGGTACCCCGCTGCGTGCCACTTTGCTTCTGTAGGTTCCGTGGTCGGGCCAAACAGCAGACATTTCCCAGTCGGCACCTCTCCTACTGATCAAAGCACTATTGGATGCACTCCTGCGGGTAGTGGATTTAGGCTCGCAGAGTACCTGCAAAAAGTATTCAAGTTAGTCGAAAATAATTGTAGATATAAAAACTGATGGAGCCTACACCTGGAAAAAGACCAACAATGAACTTCAAATCAATAAATGGAGGACCTGAGGCGGCGAGGCCTTAGTATGATCAATGTATCATGAACAGGAGATTGGATGAGCACATTTGTGAGAGTTATTGCTACAATTGGCAGTGAAATCAGCCACTCAATTGGTTTATCAATATTTGAATCCATTAAATGCCTATCTTGTTAAATTTTGCGATTATACCCAAATGATTAAAGATAGAAATGCCTGAAATTTGCTTAGAAATACATTAAAATACGCTGATGGATCAGAAACTGCCGAGCCACAATATTTCTACAGAGGGAGTTACATACCTCTTCAGACATCACAGCTGCGCAGACTGCATTCGGTTATTCGTTGTCTGTGGCGTAGTGGGAAGTGTAAGGAGAAATATTTAATTAAAAGTGGAAGTGGAAAGAGAAATATTAGTGAAGGAGCAGGATTACTCTACTCCCCCTCTACTCCCCCTCTACTCCCCCTCCACTCCCCTTCTACTCCCCCTCTACTCCCACTCTACTCCCCCTCTACTCCCCCTCTACTCCCCCTCTACTCCCCCTCTACTCCCCCTCTACTCCCCTTCTACTCCCCCTCTACTCCCCCTCTACTCCCCCTCTACTCCCCCTCTACTCCCACTCAGGCTGCCGCTGTGTCCCACTCAATGAGTGTCCGGAGCTGCGACCGCCTGTGGGGCTGCGGCTCTCGTACGACCAAGCGGCGACCATACGCCGCCTAAAATGCGGCCAAGACAATCGTACTATCAAGGTGGGTCAGGGTGACCCATGTGGTGAGGGAGGAGTGGTAACTTGGTCAGGCAGGTAACCACTGCACCACCCCTGCCCATGTGGGTTTTGGTGACCCGCGTTATAGGTTATAGGTACATCATATCAATTATATATTACATAGGATCAATTGTCCAACACACTTTATACAATTTTGTATATATACTCATACATCCCTCCCTCCCCCCCAGGTGTGTTGTGGGGCAGGGGCGCAGCCTGTGCGATTGGCAGACCCCCCTCCACCTCCCCCTCCTGTGGGTGGGGGGGACGGGGCGGGAGGGGGGCATCCTACAGTCCTGCCTCAGTCCTGCGGCGTGACCGCGTCCAATGACAGGATACACGAGGGGAAGGACGCCCCTCTGGGGGGCAACCCCTGAATGGTCGCACTGGGGTACTTGGGTGGGTGAATAACAGATGATGGAATCCCAGCTGTAATAAGTTGAAGTCTAATAAAAAATGTCAAAAAAATCTGGTTAATGAATAATATAATAAATCAGCTTAATAATCATTAACAATCTGCTCAACAATCAATATTGAACCACTGCATTTTATTTGCCAGTCACACCCATGACCGTCCAACGCTCAGGAACATAGGTTGATTAGTTCTTCTATTTCATAAACTTCACTTAGATTAAAGAGTTAATAGATTGCGGAGTAGATGTAGATTGTACGTAGACTGATGCTACTCCTTCGTTTAACATACCTTCGCTTGAGTGAAAGATATTAAACCCGTCTTCCCATGGTCATAAGCCTCATACTCCAATATTGAGCCCCTGAATAACATACCTTCGCTTAAGTGAAAGATATTAAACCCGTCTTCCCATGGTCATAAGCCTCTTACTCCAATNAGCCCCTGAATAACATACCTTCGCTTAAGTGAAAGATATTAAACCCGTCTTCCCATGGTCTTAAGCCTCTTACACCAATATTGAGCCCCTGAATAACATACCTTCGCTTAAGTGAATGATATTAAACCCGTCTTCCCATAAACCCGTCCTCATACACCAATATTGAGCCCCTGAATTTTGCATGCCTGTCCACCGTCCCAGCAGACGACAATCAGCAGCTGAAATTCCAGTGCGGGGCGAGCCTGGTGACGCGCCAGCACGTCGTCACCGCCGCCCACTGCCTCCACCCTGACGCTATCGGCTTCCAGACACTGTCAGTTATATATAGTTTATTTATAATATAGTAGTTATATTTATAATGTAATAGTTTATATTATAATATTGCCGGAGGGATACTTTAAATTTATATAAATTACATTTTCATGACCTATACCGACACATTCACTGCAAGTAATTATAGTAATGTTGTGGTTAAAACTGTCATATACATAAATTTTTTGGTAAAAAACAACGCATTCACTGCCAAAAAACAAATGTGATTATGAGTCGTTTATTTTCTGTTCATTCTATAACATTTACTGGCAAATTGCGCAACAAGTTCACGTTGTACAGAGTTACCTGTTAACACATTCCATGTATTCCAAACGCTCGTGGAAGTTACTAAACTTCTAAAATATTTTAAAAACTACCTGCCTATCACTCCTATATATCAACCATTTTTAATATTCCTCCCTCCCATGTCCATCAGCTGATAAATGAAGAAAGTAAATACAGTTAAGAATCTACTGTAAACATAAATAAACCGAATTTATATATCCGATCAAATAAAATTATCTTCAGGAAACAATTGAACATCGGCGAGTGGAACACGCAGACAGACCCCGACTGTTCCGTGTCTCCAGCGTCTGGCAAGCGCGTCTGCGCGCCACCCGTTGTCGTACGTCAGCCCGCTGCCGTTACTTGGCACCCACAGTACAACAACAACGGGAAGTACAACAACGACATCGCCGTTATCAGGCTAGACAAGCCTGTCACTTTTGGAGGTGAGGTTTGTTAACAATAAAAGAATTGACACAAAGGAATAAGGCGTTGCGATTGAAAGCTTGCTTGTAGCAAGAGCATCGTACGTCAGGACGCTGCCGTCACTTTACACCTCTAGCACAACAACAACGGAAAGTATTGCAACGGAATGCCATTTTTGGAGGTCATGTTTGTTCATAAATACAAAGTGACATAAGAGAAACGAAAAGCTAGAACAATATTTAAGCGTGCGAGTTGAAGCGATTGTATTGTACGTCTGGTCGTTACTCTTACACGACTTGACCAAAATACATACACTTTCATCAAGCATTTTCCATCACAAGAACAAGAATCGATATGCTGTTGTCGAGAAAAAACCCACACTTTATAGAACGAGTTTTCCTCATTGAGAGACGGAAAACCTCCAGATATATAACTTGTATTATTGAAATGAGGTCCAAATCGCCCAGTGAATTACTGTAACTTCGAAGTACCAAGATTGGTTCACTAAATTGTAGATTCAATCCCGGCTAGCTATAAAAATTTCTGGTAAACATCGGTAAGGTGGCTGGTAAGTTAAGAACCACAAAATTGTAGCAATGAATTAAGGGTTCAAAGTCCCAGCCAACTGTGAGGAACATAGGATTTTTAAATCATATCGCTTACGCGCGATTTAATCATGCTAATCCTTCCTTAGGTGCAGTTGATTCATTTAAATCGCACATAATCAAACTGCCTTTTTTTCTGAGCATCAGTTGAATGTTATGTAAACCACGACATACCATCAACGTCTAAGGTTAAGTTATTGATTATATCGAGACTCTGGCTGATGTTGAACATGACGGCGTGAAGACTTTGGAGGCACCCGTATATAGAGTTGTTTTCAAGTTACAATATATCAAATTCGTAAAAAAATGTGCAAACAAAAAAGTTTGAACTCGTGTAAGAGTTCGATGTGTGATTGCTACTGAGATCTTTTTATAAACTTATTGGGAAAAAGCGAGCCTCAGATTTAATTAAATTCGTCTAGAATTGTAATTCTTCAGACTAATTTCCATCTAAAATTTTCATAAAACTACATGCTTCGGATATACCTACCTAACGTCGCCCAAGGTTTAAATCCCCACTCTCTGCTTAATTTGAAATTCTCTAGTTACCCATATACCAAATCTATTTACCCCTACAGCGTTTATACAACCAATTTGCATTCCGGCTGATTTTGACCCGAAAACCCGGACTGCGTCGGATGTCAACCCGCTGGCTTCAGCGACAGGCTGGGGGAAGACGGAGAAGCTGGACTCCTCCCCAGTGCTGCAGGAGATCAAACTCCCCCTGGTGGACATGCAGCGCTGCAATGCCTCCTACGCGGGCATCCTAAATGATAAACAGGTGAGGGCAGTGCAAGCAATCACTCGGAGATTTTTCCATCCGCGACCAATTATCTTCTATTATATCACCGCACTAACTTTAAACTAAGGTCAGGGTGGCCCGGTTCTTTTAGTTCAGTGCACCAGGATTGGAACAGTGAATTGCGAGTTCAATCCAAGCTTCCTGAGACAGTTCTGGTTAAAATCGGCGAGGAGGCTAGGCTGTTAAGAATCGGCAACAGGCCAACATATGGCCTAATCAACTCAGACACCGCAATATCATTTATTAGTGCGGCGAAGTTTGAGAACAAGGTATTCGCGACCATCGTGTGATATCTTGCTCTGACCCCAGACAAGGCAGTTGCTTCTATCGATTGTGTAGTTTTTTCCAAATGATATCTGAGCCAGCATGAATTTTGGGGCTACGAGTGCCTTTCAGGTGTCCGAGGAATTGCAACGGTTGGCTGGAATTAATTGGATTCGGCGACCTCTGACCACCCTTTATTACTGACCGCTAGGTGTCATGCTAGCAGCCTTGTGCGGTGTCAGCTGAGTAATTTACAACGTCTGTGTTTTTCTATTCCATCCCCACGCCTGCATCGGAAGTCTTATTACTCGGGATTTTCACTCCACGTGTGAAGATGCGTGCCTTTAATTAGTTTCTTGTAACAAATATAAGGAGGCTGATCATGAATGCAGGGTATTCCAATAAGTGGAGAAAATAAGTAAAACCAATCGACATCAGCAAAAAATGATGGAGAAGTAGCTAAATTCTCGGCCATTAATATGCAAAGTGTCTTGAAATCTCTCTTCATCATAACTCTTTTGGATACAAATTTTTTTTATTATTGCTACTGTCCACAGATAACAAATAAATTTAGCATGGAAATATTCAGATTGTAATCTCATTTACGAGTTAAGTTCAAGTGAACCTACTTAAATGAAGAGATCCCATAGGAACTATAGGCAAGTCTGTCCGAGGCTCTTGATATTCCCCTTAACATCATCAACCCTCCCCTCCTTTCTTGCAGATATGCGCTGGGGGAGTGAAGGGGGAGGACTCATGCGAGGGGGACAGCGGGGGTCCTTTAGTGACCACGAGCAAGGACGGGGACAAGCACCTCCTCATAGGACTCACGTCCTTCGGTGGTGTCCTATGTGGCGGACACAACAGCTACGCAGTCTACACGGCCGTCCACAAGTACCGGGACTGGATCATCCAGACCCTCGCGGTATAGGACCTTGGGTGAGACCCTGGGTGTCCAAAGGGTATTAGGATTTACCTAAGACCTGTGGTCAGACCCTGGGTGACTGGTTTCTTTGGTTTAACGCAGGATTATTGTCAGATGTCAGACCCTAGATGTTCAGGGTATCAAGTTTACCTTAGGAAGCTCAAAATTTAGCAGTTTGCCATGCCGGGAGTTGAGTGCAGGTGCTCAGGCAGCTGGTACAATTGAATTATCATCGGCATTAGCAGCAGGTACAGTGGTTTATCATTGATATTTCAAGCTGCAATAATAATTTTGCTGCATGACAGTATATTAAAGGGTACCTAAAATTATATAGGTTTAGGGTATGAATGGACGGATTAGCGAAGCTGAAATAGGTTATAATTGTGTTTCACGAATGGAACATGCATAAAAGTATACAAGATGTTTGGATACCCTTCACTGGTTATTCAGATATAGCAGTATAGGTCTAATTAACAATTTTCTGTTGGTAAAGTATCATAGAAATGATACAGTATCAACATAATAACGTGGATAATGAAACCAAAAAGACGACAATATTATTTAATGGATAAAATGAGGGAAATTTGAACCCTATTTTCAGTCCCCCTCACACTACAATAAAATTACACCGTTCCCGTGCGTTTTAATGCCCCCTTAGCTACACAGTTGTCGTGGATAAATAAATGGATATTTTCAGTCCTTATCCGGCATCAGAATTTCAGTCAGAAGGATTATAGGAGACGGATTGATTAAGGATCACGTCCGGTAAGTGGCATACAAGGGTAACATAAATCAAGAACTCAGGTTTAGCAATACTTTGAAATAAATAAGCATTTACTTAGTCACCCCTCCTTCCACTAATATTTTAATCAGGTTAGGAATCCTGGGGTCATATTTTCACAACTCGCTAAGTGAACGTAAGTACTTACGATCTATTTTCTTGTCTATGATTGGTGGATTTTGCTTGAAAGGCCGTCATCCACCGGATTGACCGGATTTTGCTTGAAAGGCCGTTTTGCTTGAAAGGCTGATGAACTTGCGACCTCTTAACTTTTTTTGAAAGTATAGACCCTGGTCACATGTGCCGTTCAATCAGAAAAATTAATGGATCAAACTGTCCGAATTGTCACACGCTTTCATACCCACAGTCAAAGCAGAGAGCGGATGCGTAGCGTAGCACTAATACGTCCTCTTGACAGGCCAAACTGAGTCAATATGACACACATAAGTGTACCAATATTCGGGTTCACTTCTGAAAAAACTTTAGAGGAATAAGCCTCACTTATTCCTTTAAAATAAAATAAATCTCTGCCTGCCTTTAAAAAATGTACACGTGCCGTCAGTTTTCGTTTGTTTTCGTAAATTCGTTCCTCTAGTTTCGTTCACTAATCGTTTCGATACATCATCGTTTCTTAGCCTTTCTCGCATGGCTTTAAACCGGTAGCCAGTGATTAGGAGTTATTATCTATATCACAGGATAAGAATAACCGTAGTTATTCTTATATTATATACATATTATATATCATACTATTTTTAGGATTTATCCTCATATTATATATCTTATAATATTATATTTCATTCAGTGACCATTTCACGTACTTTATCCTACACCGAGTATCGCGTCAGAAGCCAGCCATTATCTCCATTTCAACGGACTACATCCTGTAGGATTCCACCACGCCTGACTTTACTATAGTTTACCACTTAAACCCCCGGAAAATATCTTGCATGTGTTTTTCCCATAGAATTTCCATTAACCGCTGCGAAAAATTCCCAGTAAATCCACTGTACATGTAAGGGTCATGTAGTCCAAGTAGCTACACTCTTTCCGCTTATATATAATATGTCACATTACGAATTTATGTATATATATATTTTAATATATATATATGTATACATATCCACAGCGACACACTTTCAGCTCGATGTACTGACACACCCTTAAGCCGGGCCAAACTGGGTCAGGATGACCCACAAAAAGGCAAAAAGTGCATCGCTATCTGGACAAAGTTGCGCTGAGTGTATGGAGCCTTTAAAACAACAATATATTCAAGTACATCGTTTGTTTACAGGAAACGTCGGAAAACGGTCCTATAAAAACAGGATGCGCATCCTTTGTCTGTGCTCTATGGCTTCATGGACAATAATATTAATATGGACAATGGTAAAGGAATAGCCTTGATTATAATATATATAACTTACATTTATTGCAATATATTCGTGATTTGCAATACAATGACCCTAATGTATTGTGATATAAATCACTTATAAATAGTTATGGCAACCGAAATAAACAATACATTATATACCTCATATATAACCATAACCATATATAATTACCATATATAAACCATTGACCTCTGCAATCATAACCACATATAAACCATATTTTATATATACCTCATCCATAAACCATAACCATATTTTATATACTGACATCATAGTCTCAAAAAACCCTCGGTTTTCTGTTGTCCCAGAAAACCGATAAAAATATTCACATGTGAAAAAAGATTTGAAAGGCAAAGAATTATCAACGTTATTATGAGTCAAGTAATTGTAAATATTTATTATAAAGGCGCAAAAATATGCGTTATTGGCACGAAGTTCCCAGATTCGTATTTTATTCGTATACTGTTCAGAAGAATTTTTATCGTAAATATATCGGGTCAATATTTAGTAATATATATTTCAAAAGAAATAGAATGAATAGCGGTTTCAGCGTTCATTAGGCAGTAAGCCTGTCGCCGATTTTTAACAACGCAGAACAATCACAGCTTTTTTCGGTCTCGAACACGCAACTCACTGCTTCTGACCTCTTCGCCGATTCTGACCAGGAACTGTCGCAGGTAGCTGGGATCGAACCCGCACCTCTCTGCACCAATCCTGGTACTCAGTACTGTAACCACTGGGCCACCCTGCCCAGTTTACATTTAGGCAAAGGTTTCTGTGAAGTATAAATTTAAAACACATAGGAAACATAAATAAATATCGTTGCACTCTCTGCCGTCCCGTTATCATAACATGCGCAGGTGGTCGGTCAGTCAAGGTCAGAAGCTAACAGGATTCCCGAGCAGACTAAGTAAGGAGCGTCACTGCGGGTAATTATCAGTCAAAAGTTAAATAAGACTTAGTTATTTATTCACTTAGTAAACCTTATCCGATGTCCTAAATCACCTAAAAGGACAGCAGTATTAACTGTGAAATTTTAACATCTGTAAACGTTAAGTTTCTAGAAAAAAAAAAGAGGGAATGAATTTTGTACCGAATCCTGCTAAACTTCTGGCAACTAAGCCCTGCCTAGTGAGTAGAGATCTTGTAACAACCCGCATCTCAGAGTTCCGCTGGACGTGCAAGGAGTAGGTAGTGTGCGCGACACGCTCTTGGATTATCTCTGAATCTCATCGCACGTATATATATATATACTCATTCTAAACTATTATTCAACGTAATGATTTTTGTTGTTTCAACGTTGATTCAACCTGACATTGCCTTTTGGGAATGAACGATTTAATGGCTGCTTTTGAGAAGTGACAAAACTGCATTCCCGTTCCAGTGTAAACTTGTTTGACTTGAGTTATATCCTGTGATATAGATAATGGATTTGAAACCTGGACGGATGCTGAGCTTCAAAATATTTACAGGCTAGCTAGTAAAAAATATTATATTTCATTCGGGACGCCTGTCAGAGACCACCACTGCCGTGCTTCGAACGGACTATCATGATCCCTTCCCTCAAGAACGTAGCCAGTAACACTTCTTGACTGTAACATTATAAGCCGTAAGCCACCAGACAGATCACATCCATTGAATTAGAACAATCAGCCCACGGGAAAGTAGCCTGACGTTGAATGGCCCAGCATCGTTTGCCAATTCGCGAAAAAATTTTACACCACCCGGACGGAGCGCGCCGGAGCCGTCCGCATCTGTCCCGTGTGGCAAATCAGGCTACGGTCGAACGGCTACTCATCGTAGGGCGATAAATTTTGGAACAGGAATATGCTATCCGAAACCTAACCCAGATGCTGTGAGCTAAAAGTTACGTAATTTAACGAAGCTGCCGAATTCACTCGCCGAAGGACGATAGATTTTGGAACAGAACAATGCTATCTGAACCCTAACACCAGATGCTGTGGTCTAAAAGTGACGGTCTGGTGGTGCACGGCAGGATGTATGCAGTTCCACTGGCGGGCTGGGCTGGTTGGTCGCCTTCTGTTGTCCGCCAGTTACAGTTCGAGCTAAAGTCAGGGTATGAAGTGATGATTCGATGTAACAATCAATGGTGGACAACCATTATTCTCTGGGCTATTCGCTTCAGAATATGGTGGCGTAAAGCTCCTAATATTTAAAGCAAGATGATGTCATGGGCTGGTCACTGACGGATGGTTTATTTCGCTGCTAATTGGTGGTCATCAGGAAATATGTTAAGCGTTCCTTTCAGGACTGATTGGTGCACAAATTTGGTTGTGCACGGCTGCGTTTCCTTTCAATCATTTAATACACTTACTTTCATTCACTCGAATTTTTTAAAGAAACGGGTGAGAATAACATGGTAGATGAGAGAAAGTGCCTACCGGCATGTGTAGTACAGGAGTGACTCCTAACTCTGGTAAGAATAGCATTATGGGTAAGAGGACGCGTGTGCCGGCATGGCAGTAGAGGGTTAACCCTCAACTCTGATAGGAATAGCATTATGGATAAGAGGACATGTGTGCCGGCATGGCAGTAAAGGGTTAACCCCCATTTCTGGTAAGAATAGCCGGACGAGTGATTGCGTACCGTTTTCTGTAACCGCTGCCGCAGGATCAGGCGTGAAGGATGGCCGATATTTCCGGGAATAGCTTTATTGTATTGGCTTAATTATTTGACTATTGACATTGTTTGAAATGGATAGGTTTACGATATTGTCGGGAATAGGTTTAGAATAATACGGAAGGATGATTATGTTTACAGGATTAAGTCAATGATCTTTACGGACAATATTAAGCTGTAGAGGCATTAACCAGTAGAGGCGCACAGGCTGACTGTCAGGGAACACAATCTGTCGTCTATTGAAAGTCTCAAAGGTGAATCCCCAGCTATTAGGCAGGATGCTGCCTGGCCTACTATTCCTCGGACTTGCCTGCTTTGGCCTGCCTGCATGTGAGGCACAACGACCCGTCGTCTTCGGAGGGACAGCGCCTCCAGGCGAGTGTGGGATCAAAATTGCATTGCTATTGGGTTTGGATTATTTGTTATAAACACGTACAAACTACGGGTTAAAAATATAATGGCGATTTACTTCTGGGGTTGAAAAGATTACTGTGATAGAAGTTCACCTCCAGCATGACAACACACGTATATCCAGGGTGCCGTTGCGTGCCGCTTACGGACTGCCCTGAGCTACGGCCGCGTCCCGGCCAGCGCTGGACGCCCGACCTAACAGCGGCCATTCAGCGCCTGAGATGCGGTTTTGCTAACCGCGCAATTAAGGTGAGCTTTGTGGCTTCATTGGTTGGTTGGGATGAGCTGCGAGGTTAACTTGTTACAAGTGAATTAGGTTGTTAGTATCAGTAAGGTGCAGCTTCATGCATAGTAAATGTTATAGGGAATTTCTCCACAAAGTTGATTTGTATAGGTATCGTGTCAAGGAGTAGAGAGATACATAGCAGACGCTTTAGATGAGTTCTAAACTCCCTATCGATGCTTGAGTATGAAATAAACATATAAGTTGATTTCCGGTGTATACTGGTAATTCTTTGTTATTTTACGCGAGTCTTCTTACAGGGAAAGCATAAGTTTATTAATATTTATCATTTTTTGTAATAGAAGCGCCCGACAACCTCATGCTGAATTAAAATACTGTCACGGGTGTTGAAGATATCAGCCCCAACTGCTCGCACATAACAGACACGATTACTGAGGGTACAAGCATCAATATACAAATGAAAGGTGCGAGTGATGGAGGGACGCCCCACACCAAATCGCTACCAGAAACTAATACAAAAATGAGAACATGGCGTATACATACAAATTGTTTGGCATTAGTTGCACCGTGTGCCTACGCAGATTTAGCTAAGCTACCTCTTAGTTGGTTAGTGTTGCCAGACCTTTGTATACTATGGCAGTGTCTTACCAGCATCAGTTCTGGCTCTCTGAATTTGACTCGAAACTCCCACATCATCACCATGACTGATGAGAATGTGATCTTTCACACTGTCCCGCAGGAGAATGTGGAATACTTGGTTCCATGTAACAGCCTCCCCTACAGGTGTGTTGTGGTGGAGGGCAGTCATCACCCACGACTAAGGGCCCTCCTCCTCCGACCGACCTGCCCCGGACCTGCGGCGACACCAATAGCATTGACAGGATATTCGGGGGGAAGAATGCCCCCCTGGGGGGCAACCCCTGGATGGTCGCCCTAGGGTACTCTGGTGAGTGACTATATTGTTCGTGGAAAGATTTGCTAGCTGCAATTAAAACATGATGGAATAAATACTTTTGAAGTGAAGTTGTATAAACTTAAGGGGTACCAGGGTAATGACGTTTATATTGTGAATACAGATAGTTCCCACACAGCAGTAGTTCCCCCATAGCAGGAGTTCCTCCACAGCAGTAGCCCTCTCCCCTGCACTAGTGCCTCCTCTCGCATCAGTCCTCTAGTCGCAGTCTCTAGTCTAGTCTAGACTAGTCGCACTAGTCCTCTAGAAGTAGTCCCCTCTGCTCTAGGCCCCCACTGAAAAAGTCCTCATTGCATATGCCACCCCCCTTGCTCTAGTCCACACTGCTCTAGTCCCCCACTACGCTAGTCCCCCCCTGTCCAAGTCCTCCCTTGCACAAGCCCCTGCCCTGCACTATTCCCTCTCTGCACTAGTCCCCTGCAGCACTTGTCCCCTCCTGCACTAGTCCTCTCCTGCAATTGTCCCTCCTGAACTTGGCTTCCGCTGCACTAGTATCCATGCACAAGCCCCTTAGCCCCCCTCTGCACTAGTCTCCCTGCACTAATAACCCCCTGCCTATTCGCCCTGCATTCTTACACTAGTCCCCTTTCGCCCTCCCCTTACACTAGTCTTCCACTAGTCCCCTCTTCGCAGTGCCGGGTCCGCGTGGTGAGCTCAAGCTGAGTTACGAGTGCGGGGCGACGCTGGTGACGCGCCAGCACGTCGTCACCGCCGCCCACTGCGTCCGTCCTGACGACATCGGCTTACTGTCCCTGTCAGTTTTTCATAATTTTATTATAGCCGTGAAAGTCCATTTCCCTAACAAAATTCGGGGATCACCTAGGCTTCGGCCGAATAGTCACTACACTCGGCGCAAAGTTATTCTGGGTCAGTTGGCCAACTGATCGCAATCAGCGACTAGTCAGAACCTCCTGGCCGACTTTATGGTCTACTTAGAGTAGGGCAAGAGTTGGCAGAATCCCCTCAGTCCCCTCACCAGGCTCTGGTAGCTGTCTGATTCGGGGGCCGGAATGTAGACCAAAAAGCGGACATAGAGAAGCTGATTTACGTTCCTAGTCCTAGGCGGTTCCTAATTCAGGCTCGCCACCAACTAAAAATTTTGATTGGGGCGCAAGGTTATTCTGGGTCTGCTTGGCTACCCAATCGAAATCAGTTTCTGGTCAGAATCTCCTATCCAACTTTATAGTCGCCTGAGAGTATGACAAGGGTTGGCCGAGCCGAGTCATACCGAGCTTACACGCTGCCCAGAGGCTGCCCTTCAAACCCTGGGCCGAAGCGGACATAAAGAAGCTGATTTGCGTGCTCCCCAAGTCCCAGGCGGCCCTATATGCAGGGTCGCTCAGGCCTCTATATTTTGTTAGGTATATTACTGATCGCTGGTTACAACATTCACTGTCAACAAACTTTCCTCTGGCATAAAATACGCGAACGTCCCTCAAACAATGTGTTATTTCTCATTATTGTCAACTTATCGCTTTTCTCCTGCTTGTTTTTAAGCTCGCTGAGAAGCCCCGCCCTTGCCTCGGCATTCATTTGATTTGATAGCTTGTTTTATATATTCACACAGGAGCACACATTACAATGAAATATATGAAAAACGTGAAACAAAATAGCAAGGCTTCCAAGTGAAGCCCATATAAGATAAAAGAAACTTCGCAGGCATGATAATAGGTACAAAACTTTATTCTAATCCTAATAAGATCACGATGTGAACAAATAAAAAATAAATTTTTTAAAATAATCACACCCATTGAGAAAAGCCTTAAGAAAACTAATAACCGCTTGTCATAATGAAAAATTAGCATAAAGGAGGCAATATAAAATTACACTGAGTAAAGCAGGGTACAACTGCAAACATCAAGTCAAAATGCTTAAAACTTGCGTACTAATTGAAATCAAATTAATACTGGTTACGGATAAAATCACGGAATTTTATTTTCAAAAACATTTTGAAGCAATCTTATTTGAACACATCTGGATATTCGTTAAAATATTTTACACAATTAAAACAGGTACCTTTTCTATTTCTAAACGAACCGGTGGTAAGTTAAATCGAACGCCCCTTGTGTTATGGGGATGTTGGGGAACAAGAGGGGTGAAAGCAGATTTTAAAAAACGTTCATCGTGGCAAAGTGCTCTATTCATGAATTTTGAAAGTGGAAATCTGAACAACATATCGTCAAGTTTCAAGATTTGTAACTGCCTATATAATTCGCTAGTAATTGGCAATGGAATATTATTATCATCATACCTAACCCTAAGCATAAAACGCAATGATTTATTAAGTGATGTGATGACCCGTTTTTTTTATTGAAAGGTACACCACCCCAGATTACCAAATTGCTTGACAGTTTGGATAAGGACATTGCGCAGAAAGGCGTTTTTCATGAAGGGAAAGTCAAAACATTTGATAAAGCACGCAAAACTCCGAGGGCTTTACTCAGCCCATGGCAGACGTGGTTAATGTGTTCATTGACGGAAATCTAGTTATCGAGGATTAAACCAAGATATCTGAATTCATCGACCCATTGTAAGATTGTCCCATTGAAAGTGATGTCACAGATGATTTATCAACAGTTAATTTTACCTCTGCGTTAACGTGACGTGTTCAATCCCTTCTAATTTTGTCTTATTTCTCAATCAGACGATTATTGTCATCTCTTTTTATACTCTAATTTTACCCAAAATGACTTCGTTCAAAGGAAACAAGCGAACATCGGCGAGTGGAACACGGACACAGACCCCGACTGCATCGTGTCGCCCGCGACGCGCAGAAACATCTGCGCGCCGCCCGTTGTCGTACGTCAGATCGCTGTCGTCAGGTTTGACAGGCCTGTCACTTTTGGATGTGAGTTTACTTCAGCAAAAACTGATTAATCATCATAACTAGGTGTAATTATTACCTACCATATCGTCAAAAACGTCCTACGTCAATTTGCGTGTCTTTGAAATCGTTTTAAAAATACATTTATAACTCGAAGTCATCGCTTCCGTCATGTACGAAAATCGTTTTTTAACCGTAGGTGACGAATATAAAGGGCCATGTAGCTATAAGACTCAACTATTTTCGATGAGATAACGTTATCTCATTTAGATTGAGCAAATGGAACGTTTGTTTGTGACGATTGCTTCTCAAGTGAAGTTATTCGATTTAATATTACGTCAGGCAAGGTTCAGTTTTGACCGTACGTCAGGACGCTGCCGTCCTTCGGTACGCATGATTCTTAAGGGCGCTGTTCAGGCAGCCGTCAACATTGAGACCAAGCAGCTTTCAACCACTGGCCTACTGGCCTGCCTTTGGTGTCAATCTGGTTAATTTTTTGAATAATGTAAAAATGTGTGTTTTCAGCTGGTATGTGTGTTCCGTTGGCCTCTGCCTGACTATTGTGTCGCCTCACTTCACCCAGGTTAATATCGATAATAAGCATCAATGTGAAAATTTTCCTGCGCAATAATTACTGCTTTATATATTTCATTGCACTCATTAAGGATCCCACGCGAACAGTGTTATTTAAATATAGAAATTCTGACGTCTATTTCGCTACCTCGAGTAATTAAATGGTCGTGATGAAGGCATCGTATGGAATCTGGCGCTCCCAAGCATTTGATTGGCGGGAAGAAACTGTTTGAAGATTTACAAGCCCCAATGTTCTTTTCTGGTGAAATTTTACCATCAGTATACCTTTTTTTATCCCCACAGCCTACATACAACCCATTTGCATCCCGAACAATTTTGACCCGAATATCCTGGCGTCGTCGGAGTTTAACCCATTGGCTCTGGCGGTAGGCTGGGGGAGGACTGAGACACTTGGCTCTTCCCCAGTGCTGCAGGAGATCAGGCTCCCCTTGGTGGATATGCAGCGCTGCAACGCCTCCACCCAGGGCAGGCTAAACGAGAACCAGGTTAGGGTGATGCAAGCTATGTTTCGAAACTTGAAACAAACGGTAACTTGATCCATGTCACCACACCTACACCCAAATTCCGGTATACTAACTGCTAATCCTATGAGTGGTTGGTGCTGACTATGGATTGAAACTTGTTCCATCTGGAAATTTTTTTCTCTCTTTCATGTAATCGCACTCACCGTCTACTCTGGCACCTCAACTGCCTTATCAATGCTCCTACTTACACCTTCTCGCGTACCTTCAGATATGCGCTGGGGGAGTAACGGGGCAGGACACGTGCACGGGGGACAGCGGGGGTCCGTTAGTGGCCACAGGCAAGGCCGGGGGCAAGTATTTCCTCATAGGACTCACGTCCTACGGCCCCCTCCTGTGTGGCCGAAACGGCAGCTTCGGCGTCTACACGGCCGTCCACAAGTACCGGGACTGGATCGTACAGACCCTTGCGGTGTAGGATCTGTGGGTTAGACCCTGGATGTTCAGGATATTATATTTAACCTAGGGTTATTGTCAGAGTTTGGATGGTTTGGTTATCAGGTTAAACTTCGGATCTTTTGCTTTGGACAATGATGGTCGGAACTGTATAGGTACTTGAGATTTTATTGACTCAAATGAAGAACAATTTCCTAATAGCCAGATCCATGGCTTTAGAAGCTACCGCGTTGCTAGTACAGTATTAATGTTTCAATATTAGAGTATTCGTGTAAGTTTTGTTATATTTTTAGTCTTTATGGAGACCTCATTACGTGCAGGTCCGTCTTGGTTGGGCAAAGACGAGGGCGAGCTACATATGAAAAATCGTTTCACAAGGGGTTGAAGGTCCAAAAGTGAAAACTAGCGAGGTATTATGCTTCATACATGTGATTTACGAGAAGTTTTAGAGTGGTTCCAGCTTAGATTAGTCCGTTAGATCTGTTGCCGATTCTTAACATCGCAGAACATTCCCAGCTTGTGGCGGTCTGGAACACGCAACGTACTGCTCCAATTTTGCTGTGCTTAATCGCCTGGCCTCCTTAACGATTCTGACCAGAACTGACGCACCGAGCTGGGATTGAACCCAGAGCTCACCGTTCCAATTTTAGTACTCTAAACTGTAACCACTGAGCCAACCACGGAGTTTAACCCATTGGCTCTGGCGGTAGGCTGGGGGAGGACTGAGACACTTGCCTCTTCCCCAGTGCTGCAGGAGATCAGGCTCCCCTTGGTGGATATGCAGCGCTGCAACGCCTCCACCCAGGGCAGGCTAAACGAGAACCAGGTGAGGGTGATGCAAGCTATGTTTCGAAACTTGAAACAAACGGTAACTTGATCCATGTCACCACACCTACACCCAAATTCCGGTATACTAACTGCTAATCCCATGAGAGGTTTGTGCGGACTATGGCTTGAAACTTGTTCCATCTGTAAATTTTTCCTTTCTTTCATGTCACCGCACTCACCCTCTACTCTGGCAGCTCAACTGCCCATCAAAGCCCGTTCTTACACCTTCTCGCGTACTTTCAGATATGCGCTGGGGGAGTAACGGGGCAGGACACGTGCTCGGGGGACAGCGGGGGTCCGTTAGTGGCCACGGGCAAGGCCGGGGGCAAGTATTTTCTCATAGGACTCACGTCCTACGGCCCCCTCCTGTGTGGCCGCAACGGCAGCTTCGCCGTCTACACGGCCGTCCACAAGTACCGGGACTGGATTGTACAGACCCTTGCGGTGTAGGATCTGTGGGTTAGACCCAGGATGTTCAGGATATTAGGTTTAACCTAGGGTTATTGTCAGACTTTGGATGGTTAGGTTATCAGGTTAAACTTCGGATCTTTTGCTTTGGACGATGATGGTCGGAACTGTATAGTTACTTAAGATTTTATTGACCCAAATGAAGAACAATTTCCTAATAGCCAGATCAATGGCTTTAGAAGCTACCGCGTTGCTAGTACAGTATTAATGTTTCAATATTAGAGTATTCCTGTAAGTTTTGTTATATTTTTAGTCTTCAGGGAAGCCTCATTACGTGCAGGCCCGTCATGGTTGGGCTGAGACAAGGTCGAGCTATTTATGAAAAATCGTTTCACCTGGGGTTGAAGGTCCAAAAGTGAAAACTAGTGAGGTATTATGCTTCATACATGTGATTTATGATAAGTTTTAGAGTGGTTCTAGCTTAGATTAGTCCGTTGGACCTGTTGCCGATTCTTAACATCGCAGAACATTCCCAGCTTGTGGCGGTCTTGAACACGCACCGTACTGCTCTAATTTTTCTGTGCTTAACCGCCTGGCCTCCTCAACGATTCTGACAGAACTGACGCACCGAGCTGGGATTGAACCCAGAGCTCACCGTTCCAATTTTAGTACTCTAAACTGTAACCACTGAGCCAACCGGCATATACCTGGATTACAACACATTACTGGATATCATGCGTCAGGGCTTCCGATTGCTGTTATCCAGGGTCAAATTACAGGAAACTTGAAGATTCCAGCAGAGATAGACGACGTAAGGGAAAACACAACTGTCGGCAATGATAGTATTTATTTAATCTCAACTTTGTATAGTGTTAGCATCACAAAAATCTCATTGCATGATTATTCAATTAGATCGAATAATGACACAGAATACATGTATTATTTATGTACTGTGCGACCAATATGTAAGCAGGTATTCAGTTCCCAAGTATCATTACAGTAAAAAGTACATGCAGACTGGATGTTTTAATGCCCCTCTGATGCACACTTGACCTCAATGAAATAAATGAACATTACAGTCAAATCATACACCATCATCAAAATCACACTATCAAAATAAGGATAGTGAATATATAGAGGGAGATCTGGAATACAACCTAATAGTTTCAGGAATTATAGTGGAGCTAGCGAGACCAGAAAGAAAATCTTGATCTCCAATTATTTATCGATCATCATGGAGGCTTCAACTGCCACAGAGGTCTCGACCATCAAACAGGCCTCGACCATCATAGAGGTTCGGTGAGTCTAAGAGGTCTCCAGACTCAATGAATTCTTTGTCTAGACTCTGGATCACTGGACCACACTGCCAGTTTACATTTAGGTAAAGTTTTTGCGACGTTTTAGTATATTAAACAGCAAATTAAATCTAAATAAATATCGTTGCACTCTCTGCCATCCCGTTGTTATCACATGAGCAGGTAGTCGGTCAGTCAAGGTCAGGAGCTAGCAGGATTCCCGGGCAGATTAACTAAGGAGCGTCACTGCAGGTAATCCTCAGTCATAAGCCATCTACGACTTACCTTAACTTTCTATGTCCTAAAGCAGTTAAAAGGACAGCAGCATAAACTGTGTAAATTTGAACATCTGTGAACGTTAAATTTCGCAAAAGAAATAGATGGAATAAATTCTGCATCGAATCCTGCTGAACTTCTGGCAACCAAGCCTAGCTTTTGTGCAATGATTACCGCATGCTTGTGAGTGACTGCCCGCAGTCCCGCATCTCAGTGTTCTTCGGAACGTGGTAGGAGTAGGTGGTGTGTTCGACGTGCTCTCTGATTTTCTCTAATCTAACGCTCACTGGCCTGGAAAATAGATCAGGTTTAACTGAGAAAGTGGTGTTTTTCTTATTTTAATTTGAAAAGGCACGAATATGATGTTAAAAAACTTACACTGGAAGAACAGACTTTGAAAGTATAACGTTAATAAAGGATTTAGTGGCTTCCTTTGTCAACTGATAAAACTGCATTCCTGTTTCAAGGGAAACTTGTTTGACACGAGTTATATCCTGTGACATAGAAAATGAATTTAAAACCTGGACAAATGCTGATGTTCTAAATATTTAAAGGCTAGCTAGTGAAAAATATTATATATAATTTATTTAATACACGTAAATTTATTCACGAAAATTTCTGACAAAACTAGTAGGAATAAAATGGTGAATAAGAGAAAGTGCCACCGGCAGGGGTAGTGCAGGAGTGACTCGCAACTCTGGTAGGAATAGCATTATGGATAAGAGAACGCGTGTGCCAGTATGGCAGTAAAGGCAATTAACCCGCAAATCTGGTACGAATAGCATTGTGGATATGAGGACGCGTGTGCCGGCATGGCAGTGCAGGGATAACCTACAACTCTGGTAGGTTAGCCGGACGGATGAGTGCCAACCGGTTTCTGTAACCGCCGCCAGGATCAGGCGTGAAGTGTGACAGATATTTCTGAGACTAGCTTATTGTATTGGCGTGATTATTTGATTATGGACTATTGATACTGTTTGACTAGGATAGGTTTACGATATTGTCAAAAATGGGTTTAGGGTATTGACTCCAATACGTGCTGGTTTTGTCGGGCATAGGTTTAGGATATTAACGGAGAAAGAATTATGTTTACAGGATTAAATGAATGATCTTTAAGAGAACCTTAATCTGTAAAGGTTCAGAGGCTTGCTAGCAGGGAACACTTTCAGTCGTCTATTGAAAGTCTCACAGCTGAATCCCCCACATGGAATGTTTTCTCGTACTCCTTGAAGATTGGCGTTACCCGCTAAACATTGAGTTGGCTAGGGACGTTTTCTTCTATCACCAATTACGGTATTCCCGGAGCAAAGTTAGTGGAACTTTCAGTTCTCCGACACCCCTTTCAGCAACACCACAGGGACTTTAACCGGTCCCGAAGCCGGAGAAGTAGATGGTTCTTGGGTAGCCTTCTAAAGGTTAGGTATTTCAAACTCAATGCCCTTAGCCTAGTAGTTCCTGAAGGACTTCAATTTTGTTCTCCTCTTTTGAGTAACGGGGATAACTGAATAGTTTTTCGAATTACGCTTCTAGTAGCCAGTTGGTGTCATGGTAATCTCCAGCGAAAAGATTATCGATTGTCAAAGGTTCCAGTGCATTCCTATTTTGATTTTGAGTGGGCACATATTTTCAGATTATATATACAAAAATCTATATTAAAACATATGTTTTTATTTCTGAAGGTCTATCGCAATCCACTTTCATAAGCTTCAAATAGTATACTGACTTAGCTCACGTAGGCCTACCGAGCGAACCTAGCCCAGCCATTAGGCAGGATGCTGCCTGGCCTACTATTCCTTGGGCTTGCCTGCTTTGGCCTGCCTGCATGTGAGGCACAACGACCCGTCGTCTTCGGAGGGACAGCACCTCCAGGCGAGTGTGGGATTAAAATTGCATTGCTTTTAGGCTTGGAATATTTGCTATGAATGCGTGAAAAAAAAGGGTTAAAAATATATATAAAAAGGTTTATTTCTGTGGTTGAAAAGTTGGCTGATGGAAGTTCACCCCCAGCATGACAACACCCCCGCTCTAATCCAGGGTGCCGCTGCGTGCCGCTTACCGACTGCCCTGAGCTACGGCCGCCTGCCGGCCAGCGCCTGTCGTACGATCAAGCAGCGGCCCTTCAGCACCTAAAATGTGACTTTGTCAGCCGCACCATCAAGGTGAGCGGTGTGGCTTTAAGGATTCGTTGTGCTGAGGTGAGTGGTAAACTTGTTTCGAGTGAATTAAGTTGTTGTATTCAGTAAGGTGAAAGTAAGGGAATTACTCCATGCATAGTAAATGTTACTGGGAATTTCTCCACAAAGTTGAAAAGTAAAGGTACCGTGTCAAGGAGTAAAGATATACAGACGCTTTAGATGAGCTTCAAACTCCCTAGCGTTGCTAGAGGATGAAATGAACATAAAAGTTGTTGTCCGGCGTTTGCCGGTAATTCTTTGGTAGTATACACGAGTTTTCTTCCAGCAAATGTTTGCTAATATAAATCATTTTTTTTTGCAATCAAATGTTGGATGTGCTTTTCTGTGCACATCATATATGGATAGTATTAAGTATGACCTAAGGGTTGTTCTGGTTGTAGCGATGATTTGAGGATAGCGAAGATAGCGTTACGATTATAGAATATTATTTAGGACTAAAGTTCGGCCTACAGTGTAGGATGGAATAGGGTTATCTGTTGGAGCTCTAAAACTGATGTCTTCGGCGTTCAGTTGATGTAAGGATAAGTCTTGAGTACATCCGATGCCCTTCTCTACTCGGACGTTGAGTTAGGATTACTGCCCTGCTAGAAATGGACAGGAGCAATGGGTTTACCGACAGCGGTCCTCGCCCAAGACTGACGCTAACCACTCAAGAAAGAGCTAAAAGCTTCGCCATTTGACGTGACTTGACAAACGGGGAAGCCAAACAAGGGTGTGTTTATGAACATATCACAACGAAGGAAATTATCTTTCAACAAGGAAGTTATTTATGAGGAAATGTCCAAGGTCGAATGGTATTAACAAAGACACCTTACAAGAAGCGCCCGATAATCTGACCCTTAATTGAAATACTGTCGCGATTGTTCGAGATATGAGCCCCAATTATTCATACATAACAGACACGATTACCAAAGGTAAGGGCATCAACATACCACAGAAAGGTGCGAGTGATAGCTACCAGAAATCATTGAAAGTTAAAAACATGCATGGCTTATAAATACAAATTCTTTCGTCCGTTAGTAAACCGTGTGCCTACTATGCCAGGTTTAGCTAAGGTACGTATTAGTTGGTTAGTGTTGTAAGACACTATGCAGTGTCTTACCAGCATCAGATCTGGCTCTCTGAATTTGACTCACACATCATCACCATAAATGAAGAGTAAAAATAAAATAATAAAATGTGAACATAAATCTGAACATAAAATTTATGTTCAGATTTGAAATGCCTAGCACCATATCGAACCCGGTGGAAGTCTAGTAGCTACTTCAAACTATCGTCAGTCATGAAAATATCCGGTCAAATTACACGAGTTTAGATCTTCTGTGAACAAGGCACGAAAAGGAAAAGAATCGGCGACAGGCCACATCAGGCCTACACTCCAGCGACGACATCAATATGTTATGTTAATGTGATCTTTCGCACTGTCCCGCAGGAGAAGGTAAAATACTTGGTTCCATGTAACAGCCTCCCCTACAGGTGTGTTGCGAAGGAGGGCAGCCATCACCCCCGGAAGAGGACCCTACTCCTCCTCCTGCTGAGAATGATGGGACGGAGGGCACGCCCCCCACCGACCTGCCCCTGACCTGTGGCGACACCATTAGCTTTGACAGGGTATTAGGGGGGGGAGAATAACCACCTGGGGGTCAACCCCTGGATGGTCGCCCTAGGGTACTCGGGTGGGTGACTATATTGTACGAGGAAAGATTTGCTAGCTGCAATTGAGGCATAATGGAATAATTAATTTTGAAATAAAAAATAAAGTTGCATAACTTAATAGGTACCAGTGTAATGACGTTTATATCGTGAACGCTGCTAGTCCCCCCCCCCATAGCATTAGTTCCCACTGCATTAGTTCTCCCTCTGCAGTAGTTCTCCTTCTGCAGTAGTTCTCTCTCTGCAGTAGTTCTCCCATAGCATTAGTTCCCACATAGCAGTAGTTCTCTCACAGCAGTAGTTTCTCCATAGCAGTAGCCCTATCCTCTGCACTAGTGGTTCCCTTTGCATCAGTCCCCCCCCCCCAGCCCCCTGGTCTAGTTCCCTGCATTAGCCTCTCACCACTAGTCCCCTCTCCGCAGTGCCGGGTCAGGGTGGTCAGCTCGAGCTGAGTTACGAGTGCGGGGCGACGCTGGTGACGCACCAGCACGTCATCACCGCCGCCCACTGCGTCCGTCCTGACGACCTCGGCTTCCGGTCCCTGTCAGTTTTCCGCAATTTGAATTTGAACAGTTTATATTGCCTTTTCGTTAACGTGAGAATGTAACGTTACCTATTCTCTATATCCTCTAATTTTACCCTCTGTGACTTCATTCAAAGGAAACAAGCGAACATCGGCGAGTGGAACACAGACACAGACCCCGACTGCTTCGTGTCGCCCGCGACGGAAAAAAACATCTGCGCGCCGCCCGTTGTCGTACGTCAGATCGCTGCCGCCACTTGGCATCCGCAGTACAATACCGATGGGAAGTACAACAACGACATCGCTGTCGTCAGGTTTGACAGGCCTGTCACTTTTGGATGTGAGTTTAGTTCAGAAAAAACTGATCAATCATCATTACTATTCGCAATTATGACATATTTTATCGTCTAAAAATAAAGCGTCCTACGTCAATTTGCGTGTCTTTGAAATCGTTTTAAAACTAAATTTGCAACTCGAAGTCATCGCTTTTGTCAGTTTGGAATATATGTTTTTTAAACCGTAGGTGACGAAGATACAAGAAAATGTAGTTATAAGACAACTACTCTCGATGAGATAACTTTATCTCATTTAGATTGCTCACATGGAACGTTTTTTATGACGATGTTGAAGTTATACAGTTCAGGTGAATTTATTATTATTAGTTATTCAGTTTAATATTAAGTCAAGCAAGGTTCAGTTATGATCGTACGTCAGGACGCTACCGTCCTTTGATACGCTCGATTCTTAAGGGCACGGTTCAGGCAGCCGTCAACACCAAGCCAGAGCAGCTTTTAATCCTCGGCCTCCTAACCGGCATTTGCTGTCAATCTTGTTAATTTATAGATTAATGTAAAAATGTGTGTTTCCAACTGATATGTGTGTTCTGATGGTATCTGCCAGACTTTTTTGTCTCCTCACCTCACTCGAGTTGACATTCATAATGAACATCACTGAGAAAATTTTCCTGTCGCAATAATTGCTGCCTCATATATTTTATCGCACTAATTATGGATACCACGCGAATAGTTTTATGTGCATTGAAAAATTCTGACGTCTATATTCACTACCGTGGATAATTAAATCGCCCTGGTGAAGCATCGTTTGGGATCAGACGCTCCCAAGCAGTTGATTGACGGACAAAAACTTTTTGAAGCTATATAGCCCCCAATGATCTTTTAGGGTGCAATTTTACCATCTTTATGCCTTTTTATCCCCACAGCTTACATACAACCCATTTGCATCCCGAACAATTTGGACCCGATTATCCCGGCGTCGTCGGAGTTGAACCCACATGCTCTGGCGGTGGGCTGGGGGAGGACTGAGGCACTTGGCTCTTCCCCAGTGCTGCAGGAGATCAGGCTCCCTTTGGTGGATATGCAGCGCTGCAACGCCTCCTACCTTGGCATCCTAAACGAGAACCAGGTTAGGGGGGTGCAAGCTATGGTTCGAAACCTAATACAAATGGTAGCTTGATCCATGTCACCACACGCACCCTCACTTTCGGTATACTAACTGCGTGCCAGCCTAGTCTCTCAATCCCATGTGAAGTTGGTGCCAACTATGGTTTGAAATTTCTTCCATCTGGAAACTTTTTCCTTTGTCACCGCACTCATCCTCTACTCTGGCAGCTCAACTGTCTTATCCATGCCCCTTCTTACACCATCTTGCGTACCTTCAGATATGCGCTGGGGGAGTAACGGGGGAGGACACGTGCTCGTTGGACAGCGGGAGTCCGTTAGTGACCACGGGCAGATTCGGGGACAAGAACTTCCTCATAGGACTCACGTCCTACAGCCCCCTCCTCTGCGGCCGCAACGGCAGCTTCGGCGTCTATACGGCCGTCCACAAGTACCGGGACTGGATCGTACAGACCCTTGCGGTATAGGATCTGTGGATCAGACCCTGGATTTTCAGGATATTAGGTTTAACCTAGGGGTTATTGTCAGACTTTGGGTAGTTAGGTTATCAGGTTCAACCTCGGATCTCTTACGATGGACGATGAAGGTCGGAACTGTAGTTACTTGAGATTTTATTGACCCAAATGAACAATTTCCTAATATCCAGACTAGTGGCTTAAGAAGCTACCGCGTGCTGGTAAAGTATTAATGTATCAGTGTATTCGTATCAGTTTTATTATATTATTAGTCTTCAGGGAGACATCGTTACATGCAGGTCCGTCTTAGTTGGGCAGATACGAGAGCGAGCTACGTATAAAAAATCGTTTCACCAGGGGTTGAAGGTCCAAAAGTGGAAACTAGCAAATTTTTATGGTTCATATATATGGTTTACGAGAGATATTGGAGTGGTTCTAGCGTTGATTAGGCCGTTAGTCCTGTTGCCTATCCTTAACATTGCAGAACATTCACAGCTTGCAGTGGTTTCGAGTACACAACGCACTTCTCTAATTTTGCCGTCTCCTCACCGATTCTTACCACTTTATCAATAAAGATAACGTATATCATCTACACAATTGCATAAACTGTATAAGTAATAAATTGTTAAGTTGAGATGTCCACATGATTTCAAACGGTAGATTTAATCTCTGAAAGTAGATTGAACTTCAACAATTTTTTATTGTAACGTCCGAAAAATGTTGACGTCCAAAAAGAGTTTATTATTGTAACGTCCGAAAAGAGTTTAACGTCCGAAAAATGTTGACGCTAAATTCATCAAAGCCAGTAAGATTTTTTCTCTCTGAGCGGACGAGAAATATAGTAACTTTCATTCTTCGTAACGATTCCAATACCTTGTATTCAGTTCATAATTTTCTTATGAGGATGTAATGCATTTACCGTTGCGTTGCTAGTATTATTTTGTTGCAATAATTGCACTATTATTAAGTGTGCTTTCTTGAACAAACAATTATGTGCTTTTTATTATGGAAAAGGTGATTATTTTAAGTTGAATATAAATGTATCTGTGATTAAGATGAATTTGCTAAGTTATAAATTAACTTTTCTAACGCTTGATCATGTCGTGCTAAATTTTCTTATTCAGATAATTTCATATTGCTTGGAATTAATGCCGACTAATGATCTCATAATTCCACGTAAAGAATTCGACCGCAATTCACTGAATTTTTTTTTTTTTTGCTATGAGCTCGCAGTGAAATTCATTGACGATGCAAGCAATGTTTGCTGAGCTTGCGCAACGTCCGTTCGATACCAGGAGCCATACTTTCAAAACTCGCTAAGTGAACGTAAGTACTTACGCTCTATTTTCTTGTCTATGATTGGTGGATTTTGCTTGAAAGACCGTAAATGAATGGTTGATGAATTTACGATCTCTTAACTTTTTTAAGTATAGGCCCAGCTTCGTCAGCAAAGTGTACTTCACGCTTAGCGATGGGATTGAACGAGATCTTTATTGAAAGCTCACCGATAATTAATGTGCCTGACATATACATTCAAAGTTAATGTATCCAATTGAAGTGACTCGGTGTTAGTGAATGGATCCATCCAGGTATCTGGATCTAATTTTTATTGTCAATTTAAAATGTTTCTTCTAGAGGTGAAGATTCAATGAGTCATTTTTCTTCCATTACTCTGTGAACGCATTAATCCTTATTATTTTGTGTTATAATCTTAAATCAATATTTATGATGCTTTCATTGTTTTGATATTCGAATATATGGATTATAATAGCATTCCTGTAACCTGATGTATTCAGTGTGCAATTTTTACAACGGAAATCGTAGGAACAATTTTCTCTAGAGACAGTGAATGAATGATCAAGATAAGAAGAACGTAGCGTTGAATACCACGAGGTGCTTTCAAGATACCCATTTGGATATCTTCCGAATTACGTTGAAGATGGACTTGTTATCTTCTTTTAAAAATGTCATACTCCGGTTTTTCATACTATTAACTATTAAGTGAAAAAACTGTATCCTTATATATTAATCGATTACTGTTCAACCTTCATTACTGAATACTTTATGTATGAGATACGATTTTGACCGGATATTCTGAAAAGATGTTTTCTTGATTTTGATTAAGAGCGATAACGATCTTTTCCGAAGGGGGGATCATGTCCGAGAGGAATTTGTGCATACAAATCCTCATGTGTTTACAAGCAGACCTAGTTAGCTATGAGTCCACGGTGTCACTCAGAGCTTGCCTTGAACGCTGAGTCGACAGATTATTCAGCATATGTGTCGCGAGGACAAGAACCCGATGAACGGAGGGACGAAGTCTATAAAAGGGCTGGGAACCTTAGTAATGCCCCACGCAGTAGTTGATAAGCGCTATGCGATGTAACTCGCGTCCTTATAGTTCTCCGACCTTACGGTCGACGCCGTAGCTTATACCTTCGTAAAGTCACTCATGTATTATCACCCCATATCGAAAGATGAGTTAGCTAGACAGATGTGTCTTTCTTATCCTTAACTTACTTAGTCAACGAACCCTTCTTAATCAGGAGGCGCATAAATAAAGAAGTAGGTGTTGTGTTTGACGCGCTCTCGGATCTTCTCTGATCTAACGTTCACTGGCCTAGAAAATAGGTTAGGTTCAACTGAGAAAGTGGCGTTTTTCTTATTTTAATATGAAAATGCAGGAAAATAATGTTAGTAAACTGGCACTGGAAGAGCAAACCTCGAAAGTATAACTTTAATGAGCGATTTAAAAGCAGCGTTTGTGAACTGAAAAAACTGCATTGCTGTTTCATTAAAAACTTGTTTGACATAAGTTGTATTCTGCGATATAGAAAAAGAAAAGATTTAAAACCTGGACAGATGCTAATATTCGAAATATTTAAATGCTAGCTAGCGAAAAATATTATATTTCATTCATTTTCATTTAATACACTTGTATATATTCACTCCAATTGTTTAAAAAAAACTGGTAGGAATGACATAGTAAATATGAGAAAGTGCCTACCGGCATTGGTAGTGTAGGAGTGACTCACAACTCTAGTAGGAATAGCATTATAGATAAGAGGACGCGTGTGCCGGCACAACCATCAAAGAGGTCTCACGCAGGTCTCTGTGCAGGTGAGTCTACATCAAAGAGGTCTCTAGACTCTGTGAAGTCTCTGTCTAGACTCTGAACTGTTACAACTGGGCCACCCTGCCCCGTTTACATTTAGGCAAAGGCTTCTGTGACGTTTTAGTATGTTGAACAGAAAAGTAGATATAAATAAATATCGTTGCACTCTCTGCCGCCATTTAACATCACTTGTGCAGGTGGTCGGTCACGGTCAGTCAAGGTGAGAAACTAACAGGGTCACCGGGCAGACTAAGTAAAGAGCGTCACTGCTGGTAATCCTCAGTCATAGGTCTTAGTCATCCACACCTTATTTATTTATTCATATAGGAAACCTTCAAGTTCGATGTCCTAAATCAGTTAAAAGGACAGCAAAACAAACTGTGTAAATTGGAACATCAGCACACGATAAGTTCAAGAAAAAAATTAAAAATAGTAAATTTTGTATCGAATCCTGCTAAACTTCTGGGAACCAAACCAAAAATTACCGCATTCTTGTCCAAAGATTACCGTGTGCTTGAGTTGTGACTCCCCGGTACCCGCATCTCAGTGTTCCGCAGGACGTAGAAGAAGTAGGTGTTGTGTTCGACGCGCTCTCGGATCTTCTGTGATCCAGCGTTTACTGAAAAAACTGCATTGCTGTTTCATTACAAACTTGCTTGACATGAGTTATATCGTGCGATATAGAAAAAAGATTTAAAACCTGGACAGATGCTAATCTTCGAAATATTCAAAAGCTAGCTAGAGTAAAATATTATATTTCATTCATTTAATACACTTACATATATTCACTCAAATTGTTTAAAAAAACTGGTAGGAATGACATGGTTAATAAGAGAAAGTGCCTACCGGCATGGGTAGTGTAAAAGTGACTCACAACTCTGGTAGGAATAGCATTATGGATAAGAGGACGCGTGTGCCGGCATGGCAGTAAAAGTTTAACCCACAACTCTGGTAGGAATAGCATTATGGATAAGAGGAGGCGTGTGCCAGCATGGCAGTAAAGAGTTAACCCATAACTCTGGTAGGAATAGCATTATTTATAAGAAGACGCGTGTGCCGGCATGGCAGTAATGGCTTAACCCACAACTCTGGTAAGAATAGCATTATGGGTGAGGATGCGTGTGCCGGCTTGGCAGTAAAGGCTTAACCTACAACTCTGGTAGGAATAGCATTATGGGTAAGAGGACGGGCGTGCCGGCATGGCAGTAATGGCTTAACCCACAACTCTGGTAGGAATAGCCGGACGAGTGATTATCAACCGGTATGTATTCCCGCCAGGATCAGGCGTGAAGGGTGGCGGATATTTCTGAGAATAGCTCAAGTGCCTAGACTTGAATATTCTATTATTGACTATTGACATTGATTGACTGGGATAAGTTTACGATATTGTCAGGAATAGGTTTAGGACAGATTATGAGTGAGGGAATTATGTTCACAAGATTAAAACGACGATCTTTAAGGAGAACATTAACCTGTAGAGGCACAGAGGCGGGCTATCAGGGAACACGTTCAGCCGTCCATTGAAAGTCTCATAGGTGAATCCCACACATAAAATTGTTTCTTGTACATCCTTGTAGATTGGAGTTACCAGCTAAACATTGAGTTGGCTAGGGACGTTTTCTTCTAGCAACGATTATTATTATCGGAGCAAAGTTGGTCGAGCCTTCAGTTCTCCCACCCTCTTTTCAGCAACACCGCAGTGACTTCAACCGGTCCCGAAGCCGGAAAAGTCGACAGTTCTTGGGTACTTCTCTAAGGTTAGGGATTTAAACTCAATGCCCTCACCCTAGTAGTTCCTGAAGGACTTCAATTTTGTTCTCCTGTTTTGAGTAACCATAGTTCTGAACTAACTATAGTAACTGAATAGTTTTTTGGAACTACGCTCCTAGTATTTGATTAGTGTCATGGTCATCTCCAGTGAAAACATTATCGGTAGTCAAAGGCTCCACTGTATTCCTATTTCGATTTCGCGTGGTCGCATATTTTCAGGACATATCAATAAAAGTATTAATATTTGAATTTTTTTATTTTTAAAGGTCTTTCAGAAGCAACTTCCATAAGCTTCGAATAGTGAACGTAGGCTGATTTAACTCGCCTATGCCTTCCGAGCTAACATAGGATAACCAAGCCCAGCTATTAGGCAGGATGCTGCCTGTCCTACTATTCCTCGGGCTTGCCTGCTTTGGTCTGCTTGCGGGCGAGGCACGACGACCCATCGTCTTCGGAGGAAATGCGCTGCCAGGCGAGTGTGGGATTAAAATTGCATTGCCATTGGATTTGGAATATTTGTTATGAATGCGTATAAAATATGGGTTAAATAAAAATATAATGGCGGTTTATTTCTGGGGTTGAAAAGTTTGCTGTGAAAGAAGTTCATCCTCAATCCTCAATATGACAACACCCCCAAATCCAGGATGCCGCTGCGTGCTGCTTAGGGAATGCCCCAAGCTACGGCCGCCTCGCGGCCAGCCCTTGACCCGCGAAATAATAGTGGCCCTTCAGGACGTAAGATGCGGCTTTCTTGGCCGCATCATCAAGGTGAGAGGCGTGGTTTTAATGGTTAGTTGTGATGAGCTGCGACGTTAACTTGTTACAAGAGAATTAGGTTGTTGTTTTCAGTAAGGTGCAACTTCATGCATGGTAAATGTTACCGGAAAGTTCTTAAGTAGAAAGGTAAAGGTGTCGTGTCAAGGGGTAGAGAGATACAGACGCTTTATATGAACTCTAAAATCCCTAGCGTTGCTTGAGGATGAAATGAATACCTACCTAAGTTGTTGTACGGTGTATACTGGTAATTCATTGGTGGTTTAAGCGAGTCTTCTTACAGGACCGCATAAGTTTACTGATATTTGATATTTATAATTTTTTTGTAATCAAAGCACCCCACAACATCATGCTGAATTAAAATACTGTCACGATTGTCGGAGAAAGCAGCCCCAACTAGTCATACATAACACACAATTACTGAGAGTACGAGCATCAATATACCACGTTAATGTGCAAACGATGGAAGAACGAGCCACAACAAATCGCTACCAGAAACTAATAAAAGGTGATAACATGGCCTATATATACGAATTGTTTGGCACTTAGTGCGCCGTGCGCCTAGCCAGGTTTAGCTAAGCTTCCTTTCAGTCTTCAGTGTTGCCAGTGTCAAACTAAGGCAGTGTCTTACCTGCATCAGTTCTGGCTCTCTGAATTTGACTCAAAACTCCCACAGCATCACCATGACTGATGATCTTTTGCACTGTCCTACAGGAGAATGTATGATACATCCATGTAATCCCCCTCCCCCACAGGTGTGTTGCGAAGAAGAGCAGCCATCGCCCCCCACCGACCTGCCCCTGACCTGCGGCGACACTAATAACATTAACAGGATATTCGGGGGGAGGAATGCCCCCCTGGGGGGCAACCCCTGGATGGTCGCCCTAGGGTACTCGGGTGGGTGACTATATTGTGCGTGGAAAGATTTGCTAGATGCAATTAAAGCATAATGGAACAATAGCCTATGAAATGTATTTGCATAAACTTAAGACGTACGAGGGTAATGTCATTTATATTATGAAGGCCTATAGTTCTCCCATAGCATTAGTTCCCACACAGCGTAGTTCCCCCATAACAGTTGCCTTCTCTCCTGCACTAGTGCCTCCCCATGCATCAGTCCCCTCTCCCCTGCACTAGTCCCCCCTGCACTAGTCCCTCTGCATTAGCCTCTCCCCACTAGTTCCCTCTTCGCAGTGCTGGGTCAGGGTGGTCAGCTCGAGCTGAGTTACGAGTGCGGGGCGACGCTGGTGACGCGCCAGCACGTCGTCACCGCCGCCCACTGCGTCCATCCTGACGCTATCGGCTTCCAGACACTGTCAGTTTTCCACAGTTGAATATCGTCATGAAGGTTCAAATATTGCTGATGAATGGTGACAACATTCACTTTCAACAAATTTTCCTCTGATGTTAAATACGTTAGCGTCTCTCAAACAATGTATTATTTTATCATTATTGTCCGCGTGTGACTTTTCTGCTGCTCGTTTTTCAGCTCTCTGAGAAGCTCCGCCCCTGCCTCGATAATAATAACAGTTTATTTCGTCTTTTCGTTAACGTGATGTGGTCAGTCCCCGTGTATATTATCTTGTTTTTCAATCTGACAATTACTGTCATCTCTTTACATCCTCTAATTTTACTCTCTTCGCCTTCGTTCAAAGGAAACAAGCGAACATCGGCGAGTGGAACACAGAAACAGACCCCGACTGCTTCGTGTCGCCCGCGACGGGCAGAAACATCTGCGCGCCGCCCGTTGTCGTACGTCAGATCGCTGCCGTCACTTGGCATCCGCAGTACAACACCGATGGGAAGTACAACAACGACATCGCTGTCGTCAGGTTTGACAGACCTGTCACTTTAGGACGTGAGTTTGGTTCAGCAAAAACTAATTAATCATTATTACTAGGCCTAATTATGAACTATCTTATTTTCAAAAACATCCTACCTCAATTTGCGTGTCTTTGAAATCATTTTACAACTTCTGTTACTACTCGAAGTCGTCGCTTCCGTCAGGTAGGCATATTTGTTTTTTAAACCGCAGGCGACAACGATACAAGAACATGTAACTATAAGACTTAACTACTCTCGATGAGGTAACGGGATCTCATTTAGATTGTGCATATGTAACGTTTGTTTATGATGATTGCTTCTCAGGTGAAGTTATTCAGTTTAATATTATGTCAGACAAGATTCAGTTATGAACGTACGTCAGGACGCTGCCGTACTCTGATACGCGTGAATCTTAAGGGCACGGTTCAGGCAGCCGTCAACACTAAGCCAGAGCAGCTTTTAATCTCTGGTCAACTGACCGGCATTTGCTGTCAATCTTGTTAATTTCTTGATTAATGTAAAAATGTGTGTTGTCAGCTGGTATGTGTGTTCTGTTGGCCTCTGCCAGACATTTTTGTCACTTCACTTCACTCAAGTTGACATCGATAATGAACATCACTGTGAAAATTTTCCTGTCGCAGTAATTGCTGCTTCATATATTTCATCGCACTCATTAAAGATACCACGGGAATAGTTTTATTCACATAGAGAAATTCTGACGTTTTTCTCACTACCACGAGTAATTAAATAGTCGCGGTGAAGGCATCGTTTGGAATCTGGCACTCCTAAGCAGTTAATTGACGAAAGAAATTGTTTGAAGATTTATAATCTCAATGTTCTTTAATCGTGTAATTTTACCATTTTTATACCTCTTTTATCCCCACAGCTTACATACAACCCATTTGCATCCCGAACAATTTCGACCCGAATATGTTGGCGTCGTCGGAGTGGAACCCACAGGCTCTGGCATTAGGCTGGGGGAGGACTGAGACACTTAGATCATCCCCTGTGCTGCAGGAGATCAGGCTCCCTTTGGTCGATATGCAGCGCTGCAACGCCTCCTCCCAGATCAAACTAAATGAGAACCAGGTTAGGGTGGTGCAAGCTATGGTTCGAAACTTTACACATATGGTAGCTTGATCCAAGTCACCGCACTTGACCCTAATTCTGGCATAGCAACTGCAAGCCAGCGTCTTCTCTCAATCACATATGAGGTTACTGCGAACAAAGGCTTGAAATTTGTTAGATCTGGAAAATTTTTGCTTCTCTGATGTCACCGCACTCACCCTCTACTTTGGCAGCTCAACTGCCTTATCCATGCCCCTTCTTACACCTTCTCGCGTACTTTCAGATATGCGCTGGGGGAGTAACGGGGGAGGACACGTGCTCGGGGGACAGCGGGGGTCCGTTAGTAGCCACGGGCAAGGCCGGGGGCAAGTACTTCCTCATAGGACTCACGTCCTTCGGCCCCTCCATGTGCGGCAGCAACGGCGGCTTCGGCGTCTATACGGCCGTCTACAAGTACCGGGACTGGATCGTGCAGTCCCTTGCGGTATAGGATCTGTAGGTCAGACCCTGGATGTTCAGTATATTAGGTTAACCTCGGATCTTTTGCGTTGGACGATGAAGGTCGGAACTGTATAGTTACATGAGATTTTATTGACCCAAATGAAGAAAAATTTCCTAATAACCAAATCAATGGCTTTAGAAGCTACAGCTTTGCTGGTACAGTATTAACGTATCAGTTTTTGTGTATTCGTATAAGTTTTATTATATTATTAGTCTTCAGGGAGACCTCGTTACATGCAGGCCCATCTTGGTTGGACAGAGAGGGAGGGCGAGCTAACATATAAAGAATCGTTTCACCAGGGGTAGAAGGTTCATAAGTGAAAACTAGCGAGGTATTATGCTTCATACATATGATGTACGAGAGATATCAGAGTGGTTTCTGCGTTGATTAGACCGTTAGACCTGTTACCGATTTTTAACATCGCTGAACATTCACAACATGCAGTGGTGTGGAACACGCAACGCACTACTCCAATTTTGCTGTGCTTACCCGCCTGGCCACCTCAACGATTCTGACCAGAACTGACGCACCGAGCTGGGATTAAACCCAGAGCTCACTGTTCCAATTTTAGTACCCTGAAATGTAACCACTGGGCCACCCAGCATATAGCTGGATTACACTCATTACTGGATATCGTGCGTTAGGGTTTCCGATTGCTGTTATCCAAGGTCAAATTACAAGAAACTTAAGGCTGCTATTGAGAACCACAAGGCCTCGCACAGGGTCCATGGAGAGTTCTTCACTAATGGAGTTCTGACAGGGAGGGGCCCAGTCTCCGTTATCGTCGCCTGCGTGGTGACCTCATTGAAGTATACATGTATGCTCATGGTTTGTACAAGGTCCCAGAAGGATTACTAGAATTTGAAACAAGAACCAAAACCAGGGCCCACAGCTATAAACTAAAAAACTGCGATGCAACTTATCCACGCGACAACATTTCTTCTCGCTTCGAATCGCCGACATGTGGAACAGCCTCCCTGAAGATATTGTTAACGCTCCGAGTATGAACGCGTTCAAGAACAGACAAGACAAGGCCATGTAGGTGCATATGTTTAGTCTTGAAATGCCTCGTATCCTACGGAACAACTGATATCTAGAAACGATTTTAAACCTACCGTCCGTTGAAAAGATTTGATCAAAAGACCAGTCTAGTAAAGAAAAATACAAGAATCGGCGACAGGCCTACACTATACTATTGAGTGGCTCGCTACCTTCCTTAGCGCGGGGTCGAGAAAAAAGAAATTTCAACGATAGAAGGCTTGCAAAATAAAATGGGCATTTCAGTGAAAAGATGCGTTTTTTCGTAGACAAAGATTTTCCTTATTTAGGTGCATCCCAAGACGGCCTCGTGGATCATGACCACGTTGTTGAAATCAAATGTCCAAGCTCTGCACGTTATTTCAAGACAGTAAAAGATGCTGTTATAATTGCTAAAAAATGCAACCACTTGAAAGTCGTTGACGATCAAATAAGTCTGAACTGATGGCATTCTTACTTCTTCCAATATCAAGGTCAGATGAAAGTTACTGGACGAAGTAACTGTTACTTCGTGACCTGGATGACAGAAGATATACGCATTACTGTTGTTGATTTTGAACCGATGTTTTGGCTCGAGCGAATGGAAGTGCAGCTTAAAAAATTTTTCTTAAACAATATGTTACCTTGCATTATCAACGATGTTGTTGAATGTTGAATAGATGTTGAATATTCGTTATACGGGTCATTGTGTTTTCAGCCGAGCGAGCCTCGACTATATGAAAACAAAGAGCCTCACAATATTTTCACTTAACCCCCTTCCCCCTCTCCAAAAACCCCTACTGTGGTTTCACAGCTTCCCCTTCTGTCTCCTTCCCCATGGAGACAGACACTTCGCTGTTGTTATGCCGGCGACAGCCAGTATCGCTGTCGTTATGAGTAAACTTTTGGTCTCTGTACACTCTGAATTACTGTCTCTGTAGTTTGATAGATCTCGATTAACAGTAAAAGTTAAAATGTCGTCGCATTTCTGTAACCTTTTGTATATCAAGATAAAATAATTAGTAGTCTAGTGACAATGTCTTTCGTTCATAAATTTGTACTCTATGAATTAAATATCATCGAAATGATTTAGGCATTGAATGTGATGCATTTATATGATAAAGATGAGCATATGACTGTGAAAACAGTCTATTTGGCTTGAAGTTTAAGCTCATATTACAGTGAGAGACACCAGCATATCATAGACGAGGGTGTGAGGTGTAAGGCTGCCCGCTGTTCCGTAGCGTCTCTTCCAAAGTTGTGTTATTTTAATATAATTGCATCATTTATTTGTAAACATTTAAATAATATACATATGTTGTTTATTTGAGAAAATGTGTATCAAAGCCTGCACCACTTTTTTTGCACAAAAAATATCATAACTACGTCTTTTAACCGGATAAATAAAATAAATAAAATGGGAAAATAAAAAAGTTTATATTGACAGCACATCGTAATTATTATCTTTATTTCTATGAGGTCGCGCTGTATATCGCAGAGAGTTTGCTGGTAGTAGGCAAAGTTCACTGATGACATGTGCACTGTTGTAAGGGTCCTGTGTAGTGCAGCGCGACGCAGGCCTGCGCTCGCATGACATTCCTGTTGCACCACGCCGGCCAGACGTAAGAACCTCACAATGTAGCGGGAGAGCTATCAACATATATAGGCTATCCGTCCATTAGGTCCGCAATAGTGAAAATGAATTAAAACCTGATTCGATCAGAGTTGAGATTTTGCAATATTTTATTGCGTAGCTGAAAAAAGGTACATTAGGTGGTCCGCTCACGAAAGTAATATTCTTATTACCAGTACATTCACAAAACAAGCAACACAAATGTTCAACAAATACAATGGTCATGCTTGGCCGCTCTGGCGTCTCCTGCGTATTCTCTTCTAGTCAAGAAGGCTCGCAATTTGCCCGTCGAGACTAGTGTCACAATGACATAGTAGACCTAAGCGCATCCGCTTATCGCAGTCATGGCTTAACGAAGTTTTGGGCTGCCAGTGTCCAATCCAGAAATTCAGCGATGGTCACTGTTGCATTCACTAATGGAGAAAACTAGACACCCTCTCTTAATCTCATTCAGGGGAGGTCCAGGTACGTATACATATAGGTAGACTTAAAATAGAACCCACTTCCACCTGAAATAACGAACAAATGCACGGGAAAATAAATAAAAGGTTTACCCACTATCACAGGAACAATAGAGCAACCCAATTGGTGAATATATCGGAATTGATCCAGGGAACACGAGGAAAGATGTATAAATCGAAATAATTAACATCCCAGCCATTGGTTTTGAGCTAACTCATGCTTAGTATTATCGCAGCACTTTATAGCAGCATAAACTAGGGAGACAAAAGTCTTAACTATCGGATAACAAGCTTACCCCGCCACTTAAAGAAATCGTGAGAGGTGCAACGGTTGCAACCAATTAATCGACATGAAAAATGGGTAATTGAGGTAATAAAATCAATCACATTCCAACTAAATTCACGATGCGGAGTCTTGGCCACTACAACCGCAACCGCTAATCGAATAAAATAACCGGGAGTCAACGCAGCCCACTCGATCTACACGTTCGTTACCAGCGTGAACCTGGTAAACAAATGACGGACAGATAGCGCAGCTACAACGATATTTTCACTTAATACACTCTCTGCCGTCTCTACACACTGCCGTCCACTACTACACTCTCTGCCGTCCCCCCCCCCTCCAAAAACCGCCAAACCGCCATTGCGGTTTCACCGCTCCTTCCTAGTCAGACCTTACAAGTCACGGTAGTAAACAAGGGCAAGCTCGCTCTGGAGTTCGGGCGGTGCTCAATACCCCCCTTAAATATTACAGAAGAGATAGAGGACGTACGGGAAAACACAAGTATCGGCATGAAAGTATTTATTTAATATCAACTTTGGATAGTGTTAGCATCATAAAAATCTCATTGCATGAATATTCAAATAGATCGAATAATTACGCAGAAAACATGTATTATTTATTTACCATGCGACTGATATATGCAAGTATTCATTTTCCGAGTATCATTACAGTAAAAAGTACATGCAGACTAGATGCTTTAATGCCCCTCTGATGCACACTTGACCTCGATGAAATAAATTAGTATCAGTCAAATCATAAAGTATCAATAAAATCACGCTATCGGATTAGGGATAAGCGAATATTTGGAGGAAGATCTGGAACATAACTTGATAGTTTCAAGAATTATAGTGGAGTTAGCGAGACCAGAAAGAAAATCGTGACCACCAATTATGTATCGACAACCATAGAGGCTTCACCTACCAAGGATTTCTCGGCTACCAATCAGGTCCCGACCATCAAAGAGGTCTCTACCATCAAAGAGGTCCATACCTGTCTGAAAGGCATGTCTCTGTTCAGCTGAGTCTACATTAAAGAGGTCTCTAGACTCAACGAAGTTTCAGTCTAGACTCTGAACTGAAGCCAATGGGCCATTGTTGAACCATATAAGGTTGACTCACGATTTTTCGCTGTTCTGCGCATCTATAGAGTGACGTCACTGTGGGCACGCTATGTAAATATTTTATATCAACACATTGTTTTTATGGCATCCTTAAAAGCATTTTAAAAATTTACCTTATCAAAATGGCCCCAAAAAAGTTGTTTACTGTATGCAACTAGTCTTATTTTACGAAAAACCGGCGTTACAAATCAGTTTGACGTCACAACGACCAAGGTGACGTCACGGGTGGAATAACAAATGACATCTTCCTTTCGCAGCTGCACGTGGGTCAACCTTGTATTAGTTCAACCATGCCAATGGGCCACCCTGCCCAGTTTACATTAAAGCAAAGGTTTCTGGGAAGTTTTAGTAAATTAAACAGAAAAATAAATATAAATAAATATCGTTACACTCTCCGCCGTCCCGTTATAATCACATGCGCTTGTGGTCGGTCAGTCAAGGTCAGAAGCTAACAGGATTCCCAGCAGACTTAGTAAGGAGCGTCACTGCAGGTAATCCTTAGTCCTACGCCATCTAGGACTTAGTCATTTATCACTTAGTAATCCTTAACATTCTATGTCCTAAAGCATTTAAAAGGACAGCAGCATAAACTGCGTGAATTAAAGGATCTGTAAACGTTAAGTTTCTGGAAAAAATAAGGAGAATAATTTTTGTATCGAATCCTGCTAAACTTCTGGCAACCAAGCATTTGTCTAATAATTACCGCATGCTTGTGAGTTGTGACCACCTGCATCTCAGTGTTCCTCAGAACGTGCAAGGAGTTGGTGGTGTGCTCGACACGCGCTCTGATCTTCTCTGACCCAACGCTCACTGGCCTAGAAAATAGATCAGGTTTAACTGAGAAAGTGGCGTTTTTCTGACTTTAGATTGAGAATGCACGAATATAATATTTAAAACTGGCTCTGGAAAATCAAACCTCGAAAGTTTAACTTTTATGAACGACTTAATGGCTGCCTTTGTGAACTGACAAAACTGTAATCCTGTTTCAGTGGAAACTTGTTTGACTTGAATTATATCTTGTGATATAGAAAATGAATTTAAAACCTGGACAGATGAAGATCTTCGAGATATTTAAAGACTATCTAGTGGAAAATATTATATTTAATTCATTCAATACGCTTACATTTATTCATTAGAATTTTTTTTACAAAATTTGTTGGAATAGCATGGTGAATAGGAGAAAGTGCCTACCGTCATGAGTAGTGTAGGAGTCTGGTAGGAATAACATTGGGGAAAAGAGGACACGCGTGTGCCGCCATGGCAGTAAAGAGATATCCCTCAACTCTGGTAGGAATAGCATTATGGATAAGAGGATGCGTGTGCCGGCATGGCAGTAGAGGCTTAACCAACAACTCTGGTAGGAATAACCTTAGGGAAAAGAGGACACGTGTACCGGCATGGCAGTAAAGGGATATCTCATAACTCTGGTAGGAATAACCAGACGATTGATTGCCAACCGGTTTCTGTAACCGCCGACAGGATCAGGCGTGAAGGGTGGCGGATATTTCCTGGAATATCTTTATTGTATTGGCTTGATTGTTTGATTATTGACTATTGATATTGATTGACTAGGATAGGTTTAAGATATCGTCTCCTATACGTACAAGATATTGCCGGGAAAAGGTTTAGGATATTAAAGGGAGCATGTAAAGCTTGAAAGAACTTTTTTATTTAAAGACGGATTATTTTGAAACTTGGTAAGCATATCTAAAATAGAATTCTAAGACTTTTTTGCTCATGTCGATTTTTCGAAAAAAGTGAGAGAAAACGTTAAATTCGTAGAAAACGCCAAAAAATATAACTCAGTACTCAATGCAGTGAGTGACAGAGAGCGCATTTTCTCGTCGACAAATACTTGAGGTCACGGACGGACGGACAGACAGACGGACATGGCGAGCACAATAGTGCATTTTTCCATAAATGAGAAAATGCGCTAAAAAGGAAGTACTGCGCAAATTTATCTCTTCCTTGGCTTTTCAAGCTACAACATCGAGAGACATCATTCGATGTGTGAAAACCATATTTAAAGGTCATCCGGTGATTTTTGTCAAATTTTTCTAGTTATTTTTATTTATCTTATTTTTTCCATTTGACCCTTCCCCCCCCCTTTTTCAATGTATAATCAAAACAAAAGAAATCGAAAAAATGGCCAGGGGATCTCTAGAGATTTTCTTTGCGAATCGAATGTTATTTCTTTCAATGCTGTAGCTTGAAAATCATAGGAGATCGATTTTTCAGATGGCGCATTTCGGAAATTTTAATTAATCAGCAGAGCCGAGTACGTAAAATTTATTGAAAAAAGATGAATATGGTGACGTCACAACGCCATAGGTGCATTACTTGATAAAAAATTACTTTATATGTAGCCCAAGCTTTTGCAGTGCCATTAATTAGTTGCATTTGGGGTAATACCAGCTTGCGTCTTTAGACTTGTTCTTGCCCAATTAAACGTGAATAATAAGCTATACAAGTGACTATTTTTATATATGTATATTGATAAAATGTTCATTTTTATAAGATCAAAACGGCTTCACGTCAAAAACATTGCATGTACATCCGCGGTATATGCTTTCTAGAACTCACATCGTAGCTTTCAAGCAAGTGTAAACACTTTACAATTAGCGCAAAATGATCAATAAATACAATTTCTTAAATGAAAATTTGTAAATACTATTATGCAATAGTCATTTTATAAAAGTTCAAAACAGCCATACGCAAAATTATTGCATGCACATCCATGATATTAGCTTAGTTGAACGCGTCTTGTTTGTAGCTTTCAAACGAGTGCAAACCCATTGCAATTAACTTGAGTAATGTTCTATGAATAGAGATTTAATTGGAAGAAATCTTTATACATATGCATGGTTAACAAATTTTCATTTTATATATTTTGAAATTGTCAGAGCTCATTATATTAAGCTCTACCTGAGGATCGGGTTACGTGACTAAGGTAGTGGAGATTAGTAAAACACACAAGTCCAGATGACGTATCTTGTATACGGGGTGGTAATACAGAGTTGCGATACAGAGATACAAGCTACAGCGTCGACCGTATAAGGTCGGAGAGCCGAACGACACGTTACATCGCGGAGCGCTTATAAACTACTGCGGGGGGCCTTACTTAAGGTTGCTAGCCCTTATTTAGGCTTCTGGCTTCCGCCCACAACTAAGATCTTGATCGCGTGATCTATCACGTGTCTTCCAGATGTTGACTCGTCATCAATCTCTATCAGGTCAAGTGAATATTACGTCTCAATCACATACAATTAATGATTATAATGAGACGCCAGATTGACACCTGACAAAATTGCTTTACGCAAAAACTTGAGAACGCACATACATGAGGCTTGCAGCGTTAGACGCGCCTTTTCAGCAGCTACAATATGAGCCAAAAAATCGGAGAAGCAAATATATTAGATTTTTACGTACATGCTCCCCTTAACGGAAAGATAATTATGTGTACATGATAAAGTCAATGATCTAAAAGGAGAGCATTAACATGCAGAGGAATTAACCTGTAGAGGCGCAGATGCGAGCTAACAGGGTTCACGTTCGTCTATTGTAAATCTCATAGATGAATCCCCCACATGGAATTGTTTCTTGTTCATCCTTTTAGATTGGAGTTACCATCTCAACTTTAAGTTGGCTAGGGACGTTTTCTTCTAGCAACGATTATTATTATCGGAGCAAAGTTAGTCGAGCCTTCAGTTCTCCCACACCCTTCTCAGCAACACCCCAGGTACTTCAACAGGTCCCGAAGCCGGAAAAGTCGACCGTTTTTGGGTACTTCTCTAAAGGTTAGGATTTTCAAACTTAATACCCTCGCCCTAGTAGTTCTTGAAGGACTTCAAATTTGTTCTCCCATCTTGAGTAACAGGGTGTCTGAATAGATCTTCGAACTGCGCTCCTAGAACTAAGTTTCATGTCATGGTCATCTCCAGTGAAAAGAGTGTCGATTTTCATAAGCTCCACTGCATTCCTATTTTGATTTTGAGTGGGCACAAATTTTCAGAATTTTCATAAAAATCAAGGTTAAAACATTTGTTTTTATTCCTCAAGGTCTTTTAAAATCAACTTTCATAAGCTTCGAATAGTATACTGACTTAGCTCACCTAGGCCTACCGAGATAACCTAGCCCAGCAATTAGGCAGGATGCTGCCTGGCCTACTATTCCTCGGGCTCGCATGCCTCGGCCTACCTGCATGTGAGGCACAACGACCCGTCGTCTTCGGAGGGACAGCGCCTCCAGGCGAGTGTGGAATGATTTTGGGTTTGGAATATTTGTTATGAATGCGTGAAAAATATGGGTTAAAAATATAATGACGGTTTATTTTGGGGGTTGAAAAGTTGGCTGATGGAAGTTTACCTCCAATATGACAACACCTCCAAACCCAGGGTGCCGCTGCGTGCCGCTTACGGACTGCCCTGAGCTACGGCCGCCTGCCGGCCAACGCCTGTCGTACGATCAAGCAGCGGCCCTTCAGCGCCTGAAATGCGGCTTTCTTAACCGCACCATCAAGGTGAGCGGTGTAGCTTTGATGGTGGGTTGTGATGAGCGTCGAGGTGGATTCATGTTACAAGTGAATTAGGTTGTTGTTATTATAAAGGTGTAACTTCATAGCTCGTAAATATCACTGGCCGAATCTTTCCACGAAGTTGAAAAATAAAAACATGGTGTCAAGGGGTGAAGACGGACGCTTTAGATGAGCTCTAAACTCCCTAGCGTTGCTAAAGGTTGAAATGAACACCTAAGTTGAGGTCTGGTGTAAACTGGTAATTCTTTGGAAGTTAACATGAGCCTTCTTACAGCATATGTTTCTTGATATTTATCCTTTTTTGGCTCTCTGAATTTGACTCAATACTCCCTCTCTGGCTCCCCTACCCTGAATGAAGAGAATGCGATCTTTCACTCTGTCCCAGAGGAGACGTTCCATGTAACAGCCTTCCCCACAGGTGTGTTGCGGTGGAGGGCAGCCATCACCCCTGGAAGACGACCCTACTCCTCCTCCTGAGAATGTTGGGACAGAAGGCGCGCCCCCCACCGACCTGCCCCTGACCTGTGGCGACACCAATAGCATTGACAGGATATTCGGGGGGAGGAATGCTCCCCTGGGGGGCAACCCCTGGATGGTCGCTCTGGGGTATTCGGGTGGGTAACTATATTGTGCGTGGAAAGATTTGCTAGCTGCGATTCAAGCATAATTGAATAATTACTTATGAAATGAAGTTGCATAAACATAAGAGGTAACGGGCTAATGACGTTTATATCGTGAATGTCGACAGTTCCCCCATAGAATTAGTTCCCACACGGCATTAGTTCTCACATAGCATTTGTTCATCCACTGCAGTAGTTCCCCTATAGCATTAGTAGCATTAGTCTCCACACAGCATCAGTTCCCCCACTAGCCCCCATTGCTTTATTCCATCCCCTGCCCTGGTCCCCCTGCATTAGCCCCTCCCCCTTACTAGTCCCCTCTCCGCAGTGCCGGGTCAGGGTGGTCAGCTCGAGCTGAGTTACGAGTGCGGGGCGACGCTGGTGACGCGCCAGCACGTCGTCACCGCCGCCCACTGCGTCCGTCCTGACGACCTCGGCTTCCGATCCCTGTCAGTTTTTCACAGTTGAATATCGTCATGAAGGCTCAAATATTGCTGATCACTGGTTACAACATTCACTTTCAACAAATTTTTCTCTAAAATACTTGAGCGTCTCTCAAACAATGTATTATTTTCTCGTTATTTCAACGTAAGACTTTTCACCAGCTCGTTTTTCAGCTCGCTGAGAGGCTCCGTCCTTGCATCGACATTTAATAACAGTTTATTTTGCCTTTTCTTTGACGTGATGGGTTCATTTCCCGCTTATTTTATCTTGTTTCTCTATCTGACGATTACTGTCACTGTGAATGTTCTGCGATGTTAAGAATCGGCGACAGGCCTACGGCCTAATAAACGCTGAAACCGCTATTATTATATGTAATAAAATCTTTGTGGTGAAAGCATCGCATGGGATCTAACATTCCCAGGCAGTTGATTGACGGAAAGAAACTGTTTGAATCTATATAGTCCCCAATGTTCTCCTTGGGTGTAATTTCACTATCTTTATACCTTTTTACTCCGCAGCTTACGTACAACCCATTTGCATCCCGAACAATTTTGACCCGAATATCCCGGCATCGTCGGAGTTGAACCCACTAGCTCTGGCGGTTGGCTGGGGGGCGACTGAGAAACTTAGCTCCTCCCCAGTGTTGCAGGAGATCAGGCTCCCCTTGGTGGATATACAGCTCTGCAACGCCTCCTACCTTGGCATCTTGAACGAGAACCAGGTCAGGGTGGTGCAAGCTATGGTTCTTAACTTAATCCATATGGTAACTTGATCCATGTCACCTCCAATTCCGGTATACTAACTGCAAACCAGCCCCGATTCTCAATCACATGAGAGGTTGATGCGAAGTATGGCTTGAATTCCATCTGGCAACTTTTCCTTCTCTGATGTCACCGCACTCACTCTCTACTCTTGCATCTCAACTGTCTTATCCATGCCTCTTCTTACACCTTCTCGCGTACTTTCAGATATGCGCTGGGGGAGAAACGGGGGAGGACACGTGCTCGGGGGACAGCGGAGGTCCGTTAGTGGCCACGGGCAAGGCCGGGGGCAAGTATTTCCTCATAGGACTCACGTCCTTCGGCCGCCTCCTGTGCGGCAGCAAAGGCAGCTTCGGCGTCTACACGGCCGTCCACAAGTACCGGGACTGGATCGTACAGACCCTTGCGGTGTAGGATCTGTGGGTCAGACCCTGGATGTTCAGGATATTAGGTTTAACCTAGGGTTATTGTCAGACCTTGGATGGTTAGGTTATTAGGTGTGACCTAGGGTTATTGCCAGACCTTGGACAGCTACATCACCAGGTTGAACCTCGAATCTTTTGCGTTGGACGATGAAGGTAGGAACTGTAGTTACTCGAGATTTTATTCACCCAAATGGAGGACAATTTCCCATTAGCCAGACCAATGGCTTTTAAAGCTACGGTGTTGCTGGTACAGTATTAATGTATCAGTATTAGTGTATCAGTATGAGTTTTATGTTATTATTAATCGTTGGGGATACCTCGTTACGTCTTGGTTTGGCAGAGACGAGGGCGACATATAAAAAAGCGTTTCACCAGAGGTTGAAGGTCCAAAAGTGGAAACTAGCGTACTTTTATGGTTCATACATATGGTTTACGAAAGATATTATATTAGTTTCAGCGTTGATTAGACCGTAAGACCTGTTGCGAATCTTTTTATCACAAAACATATACAGTTCGCAGCGGTCTCGAACACGCGAAGCACTTCTTTAATTTAGCTGTGCTTAACCACCCGGCCTCCCCACCGTTTCTGACCAGAACTGACGCACCAAACTGGGATTAAACCCAGAGCTCACTGCTCCAATTTAGCACCCTGAACTGCAACAACCGGGCCACTCAGCATATACCTGGATTTCAACTCATTACTGGATATCGTGTGAATATGTTTCCGATTGCTGTTATCTGGGGTCAAATTACAGGAAACTTGAAGATTCCAGAAGAGATAGTGGACGTAAGGGAAAACACAAGTGTAGGCAATGATAGCATTTAATTTATTCTTAACTTTGGATCGTAGGTATTAGCGTCAAATAAAATTATAAATCTACAAATACATCGAATGATGACACAGCAAAAAATGTATTATTTATGTACTATGCGACTGATATATAAGCAAGTATTGCGTTCCCAAGTATCATTACAGTAAAAAGTACATGCAGCCTGGATGTTTTAATGCCCCTCTGATGCACACTTGACCTCAATGAAATAAATGAATATTTCGGTCAAATCTTCAACCATCATTTAAATCATGCTATCGGATTAAGGAGAGCGAATAATTAGAGGAAGATCTGGAACACAACTTAATAGTTTCAGAATTATAGTGGAGTTAGCGAGATCGGAAAGAAAATCTTGACAACATCTTGACAACCAATTATGTCTCTGTCTAACTACTTTCATATCTAAGAAAATAGTTTAGAGAGAATTCATGCCAGCGAATCACCGGTTCAGTTGGCAACATTCATTTCCGGTATGTCTCTCACAGCTCACTTCAGCCCTCTCAGAGCCCACTTCTATTCCAGCAGCTGCTCTAGCAGGATCGCGGTAAGCTCGCTAACTTAGAAACACTGCCTTTAGGATAGCCCTAGTCTTCAGTTTGCTCAGTGAGATGTAGCCGTAATGGATGGAATCTGGAGACAGTGCAAGGTTCTGCGTTAGAAGCTTTTGCCATGCCTTAATCTCACGTGATAATTTGCTTACTTACCAAATTGAATCGTGTGTTCAAAATTGACGCAGCTCTGTTTCGCTGCAACATCACGTCAGCAACTACCAAGAACATATTGTTGCCCTAAAACAACATCACAACAACGTGCAACTCCAAGTGGTTCTCACCACGCCACGTGGTTCTCAACATGCACGCCTCTCGCATCTCACCACGCCACGAGCATCTCGTCATCACCACGTGCTCCTGACACCTCGTCATCACCACGATTTCAAAGTCTCCAATAATGGTATTGACGAGAAAAAATTGTCAAAGAATACTTTATGATTCTTGCCATGCAGTTTCTCAGTCAACTTTAGGACAACATCAGCCCCAAGTCCCTGTGAAGCTCCTCTGCAGGGAATTTGTGAAGTACTTTTACCAGTGTATATATCAAAGTCATACACATAGCCTTCATCGTCAGCTAAGCACCAGACTTTGTAGCCTCTTTTGATTGGCTTTAGCGGATTGTACTGTTTCAGGCTGCTTCTTCCCTTGAACTTTATCATTGATTCGTCCACCGATAGATATTCTCGTGGGTCTCTCATGACTTCAAACTTCTGCTTCAAGACGTTCAATAATGGCCTTACTTTGTAAAGTTTGTCTGCCTTGCTTCAGTCTATTTTGCTGTTGTCATTGAGATGAAGGTGGCGCAGTATTTTGTAGAACCTGTCTCTTGACATGGCTTCTTTTATGCACTGTACTCCAATGTCATCTCCAGTCATCCAGTATGAATTAATTGATGGACATCTGTTGTATCCCATTACTATATTGATGCCAAGGAAGGTTTTTATTTCATTAACAGATATATCTGCAGCCTTGCCTGCCTGAGTGCATTTCAGATTGGGTTCATAATGAATTGTATTGACCAAATCATCATCGAAAAATAATAAAAAAGAATCAAAAGGTGATGAAATGACCGGGTCATTTTTCTTGTTGCTAATGAATTCAATGTTGAAAGCTTTCTCGTCTTTTTTTCTCCATTTTCGTTTGACATTTATGCCCAGATTGGGTTGATCTTCCGTAGTCGAGATGCAGCTTTCAGTGGCATTTTCTTCAGATGTGATCTGTATTACAAATTGTTCTTCTTCGTCGGAGAAGGCTGCTAGATCGTGAGAAAACACTGTAATATTCTCTGTTGGTTCATGGCTACTCTCAATATCAGTATTAGAGCTGAAATCACTTTCGATTTCCTCCAAGAGTGACGCAATCTCTTCGTCTGTTAGGTACTTCCTCGCCATAGTTACCTGAAAACGAAAATATTTATCATTACAACGTATAAACTGATCGCTCTGAAACCATGAAATTTTATAAAACTAAACCAAATTAAAATCATCAGTATAAGATTTATAACTGAAGCACATATACTGAGTGTTATCATGCAATATAATTCAACAAAATTAGATTTTTCTGTATGCGTTTGCCACTGAAATACGTGAACTGACATATCTCGGTCAATAAATATTATAAAATGCAACGAAATGAAAAAATTCGGGCTATATATGACTTTAATGACTAAAACTCATATAATGAGTGTTCTCAATCGATAAAGTAAGCTAAAATACAACAAAATTAGATCATTCTGAATGAGTTCATAGCATCACATAACGTTGCAACCTCATGCCACCTGGACATCTCAGTCCTGCCTCCACCACAGGGATGAATTAGTCCCACTCACATATATCTAATTAAAATCATTGTAGGTGCATTACACTTGATAAAATACACATCTACCCACTTACCAATACTTTAGCAATAAACCTACCAAAAATAGTAGCAGTTCATCACGCAGTTCTTCGTATTGGCAGAGAAATCCAATGAGCAAAAAACAAACGTAGCATATCCCACAGTCACTCGATGCTCAATGCTGTTTGTTGCGGTGCGAACCACGAAAGATGCCAGATATCGCTATATTTTGGTGAAAAATGTTTCTTATATGTCCCTGTAGTTAGCTGCGCCTCAAATATTGCGCTGTATGCAAGTTATGTGGTAAAATATTGAGCGGGACACCACAGTCCCGTCAGTCACGAAAGGGTATTAATAAACTTGGAACTTGGATCCAGCCTAATGACATTCACCCATTTGAAGTTACCGTCAATGAATTAATAAACTCGTCCGTTTGAACTTGAACCAATAGAAACACTACAATGGTCAAAGGTGGCCAGTATGATTTGTGGAATACTTAGATGAAGAGCTCAGTGTTACTGTGTTACGACTGTTACAGTGAGATAAACTTGAGTCATCTTCTAAATTTCCAGTTCGAGAAAAAAGGAACTTACTTTTGAGCAATGGATGAGTCAATGTTCATTCGTGACGGAAAGGAATTAGGTCTCAGTGACAGTGCATTGTTGAAGTATGTGACAGAGAGATTGAGGAGGGAAGAGGAGCGTTTGGAAAAGGAAGAGCGGTGAAGGAAAGAAGAGGCTTATCGATAAGAAAGACTGCTTGCACGAGAAGAGAAGAAAAGAGAACACGAGCTGCGTATGGCGGAACTCGAAATGGAGACGACGCGAATTGAAGCAAGCGTGCCAAACCAGATTTCAGGACATTCGAGAACCAACATTAAATTGAATCCTTTCAAGGAAGGAGAAGATGTAGCGGTGTTTTTGAGAACTTTTGAGAGAGTCAAGGAGGCCAATGGCTGGTCGGAAAGTGTTGCTATTCCTGCATTGATGAACGGTTTTGCCAATACTAAGGTTGGGGTGTTTTTGGATACATTGCCACCAGGGTTACCCTATGTTGAGGTAAGAGACCTAATTGTGCAGAGTTTTGGCTTCACCATATACGATTACCAGCGGCGATTTCATGGTGCTCGTCAAGCAGAGGAATCATTTTCTCAGTTCATTTTGTATCTCAAAGAAAATCTTTTAACGATGCAGGCTCTTGCCAATGTTGACAGTAATTTTGAAAAGTTACAAGAATTAGTGATTAAAGATCAATTGTTACATTGTGTAGATAAAGGTCTCGCAGAATTTTTGAAGGAAAGAAATATCTTTCAGATTGCTTTGGATGAAGTCATTAAAATTGCTGACAATTATCAGGCTATTCACGGCAAGCAATCGAGCAAGTTGAAGATGAGTTTTTCAAATGTAACTTTAACTGACCATTCTTCTGGTGAGCGTTATTCAGCTAAATCTTGTTCAGGGCAGAGATTAACGAAACTTCGCTAAGTATACGTAACTTTTCGTACTTACGTTCAAAAAGTTACGTATTGCCTAAGTCAGTCAAAATTTGGCATTAACAAAACTGTCTTACGCAAGACTCATCTGAAAAGGTATTAGCGAAACCATCCAACTAACTGACCAATCAGAGGCTTCGAATTTGCCATTCCTAGCTCCTGTCAACTTAGTACGCTGTGCGCGTGGATGAAAGGAGGTTGTATGTGTCAGCGTCATCTGCGTTGACTGACTAGGGAGCATATGGAGAAATGAGCGAGACGTTTTCTAAATAGCAATGACAACGCCTTGATTGTAATTTTTTGCAATCAAGGCAAAAATTACATTTTTCCCATTCAAAATTTGAGGACTTTTTAGAGAGCTACCTAGAATTTAGAACATTTTGTAAGTTGGAGTTCTTGTGAGTTGGAGTTAAACTATGATAACTATCAGCGGAGAAAGAAAGGAATTTGTGTACGTAGCTAGAAAAATGGTTGACTTGTCAAACTCCACTTAGTTTTGAATCAAAGAGTCATGAAGATATTATTTTAGAGAATGATCATAAAACTCAGCTACGAATATCAAGATTTGCTTGCAAATTATAGCACAAAAGGAAAAGAAATTAGCTGGCATAACTTAATTGAATTTTTTTTTCAAAAAGCACCGTTTAGCACGATCACATATTATGCCTATGTTGAATTATTGACAAAATTCTATCACAATTCACCGTGTTGCAAGTAAATCAATAGTTTTATATTGCTTCGGCACACTCAAAACGTCTACGTAACTCCACTTACGACACCTCCGAGCAGGCGTAGAGCACCACGTGCTCCTGACACCTCGTCATCACCACGTGCCCTTGTCTCCAAGCTCTTCCCGGGGCCACCATCATCGAGCAGGTCACGTGAGCTAACAATAAGTACTGGCAATCTTAAATTTGTTGTCATTAACCGACCAGTTACATTAAGCGGTCCTAGTTAAATCAGTCTGTTTCTATTGGTATAACTCTTGTTACCTGACTTTAAATACCCCTGAGACTGAGTCAAATTCCAAATAATAATTAAATGTAGACGGATGAAAGTCCCCACATCTCGACCATCATAGAGGCTTCAACCACCAGGAGGTCTCGACTACCTACCAGGTCTCGACCATGAAAGAGGTCTTTACCCCCACGTATATGTCGACAATCAATGAGATCTCGACCCCAGGCAGATCTCGACAACCTATGATGTCTCGGTGATTAGGGAGATTGCGACCAGCAAGCAATCTCAACTATTCGCAAGTAAAGGCCACTATTCGTCAGCGTCAGCCCCAGCAGGCGAAGATTGTGAATAGTGCATGAGTATACATCTTTTAAGTAAATAGCATACCAAAACCAAATACGTCATTTGCGTAGTGAGATTACGCATTATTAACAACAACAGTCATACTCACATCTCGATGTACAGCAAAAGTTCGAAAGAATATTTAATGAAAGGGATACTTTCTTCCAACAACAATTTCTTTCTCACATCTCCTTATTTATTGACATAATTTCAGATTTCTTAGTTCATTTCTTCCTGCCTTTTCGAGCCTGTTTCAAATAAAACTCAACTCACAGCTTGAATTTTCTAAGAATGCTTTCCGTTCCGCCAAGCCGGCTCTTGTTGAGTTGCTGGTAATCCGCCTATCGAACGTAAACACAGGCATTTGTTTTGGTGTTCAGGTGCTGGGGATAGAACTTTTAAGATGTTTCGCTGCTTGTTAACTATCATTCGTGAATTTAAATCTACTGATATTACTGCAGAGTTTTGCAGGGCGGAAGGAATAAGCTACAGTGCGGCTTTGGCATGCAGGGAACAGCTCGAGGCCATGGAAGAGCTTAAACGTCTGTATCATTTCAGTCTACCTTTCTCAGTTCTCACCTCTACACTACTCCTCTAGTCCTCTACTTTTTTTCTCCCAGAATTCACTATGTTTCCACTGCTTATATTTCTTCTATAAAAATTTTATTCATATAATCTCTAATTTTTTCCATTTAATATAGATGGAGAACAATTTTTTGCATTCTTACACTCATAAATAAAAGTCCATAGTGGCAAACCAAGTACTTTTCTAGAATAAGTTCATTTTTAATTTCCTCATCTACTCAAAGCTTTAATTAATTTCTTGTGCATGATTATGCTGGTATCAAAAATACTTTCATGGTCTACCCAGTGTGGAATTATGTATAGGTAATATATTCTCATGTCAATATAAGAAAACGTATGGAAATACCAACCCTACCACCGCGTTACACCACCTTCCAGTCTTCCACTGCAATGAAAATTGACAAACTGAGCTCATTTAAAACAGCTGTGCTTCCGAAATCACGCGTGGTTTGAAATCCAATCCTGTGTTGCCAACGACTAATCAAGTTAACTAGTCGTTTATCTGTAGGCTAGCGGACACATTTTTGCAATGAATACGTTCTAAAATAAAAAAAAACACATCCAGCTTCGTAAAAAATTCTCACGATTGGACAACACCCACAAAGTTTTCGATTTCACACAAAATTATGAGATAAACTTTGACTCTTTCACTGCGTACATTCACATGGTGTTTTCTGTTTACTTCTCACAAGACGGTGTCACACACTTATGTTTTGGTTGTGTCTAGTTTGATTTCACAATAAATAGACTTGATTCACAATCCATTCTGAGATTTAAATGATTGAAAGTTTTTTTTTAATTATAAAAACCTATTTATACGTTCCAGATTTGATTTTTTTGCCCTATTACGTTGAATTTATCTTGATAAATTGAATTTATCTTGATAAATTCACTTCAAATTCTGAATGATTTCGTCTGCCATCCCGCATTTTCGAATGTTTTGTGTCTTTTAGAAAATTTTCGTTGTTTAACATGGGAAACTATTTCATTATAGAAAACATAGAGCACATACGGTATAGTGCATTAATAATACAATTTAATTCAATAAAAATTAATTTTTAATTTAAAAAATATAATCAGATTTTCAATTCAACATTTTTCTAATAGAATTTAATTCTACAGCATGTACCATCTAGTGTATTAAATAATAAATTTTGATTTAGTAAAATTTAATTTTATTTAATTTTTTAATTTAATTTAATTCTACAGCTTCAACCGGTAAAAATGAGCATCATAGGAATCAAAGTAAAACTGTCGTTCATACATCACAAATTGAAGGACATTGGATGGATTTGATAGGTGTTTTATTAATCCTGTTTATATATAAGAACGGAAATGACGCTTCTAATGTTTCTACTATTTCAGAAACTTTTCTTGAATACACTTCCAAAAACTAAAGTTCTGTAATCAATGGAGTCTTTGAAATGACAAAATCATTCAATTTAGAATTTTTAGCTATAAGAGTAAGATCGTCATTTGTCAATATGAGGAGCATTCATTCGTCATTCCTGAGGAGGTGTAAGAAAAAATTCGTTGTTTTTTATGTAAAAGGATGTTTTTCAATTAAAAGAAATGCAATAATTGATTTTTGGAAATACGATGTTAAAATTAACGATCCGTATTAGAATTCAAAGTCCTTTTCATTCGTTTGATCAGAAGTTTTTGTTCGTTTGATGAGAAGTTTTCGTTTGTTTGATCAGAAGTTTTCGTTCGTTTGATCAGAAACAGAAAAAGCTTTTGTTCATTTGATCAGAAACAACATAATTATTCATTCTCTTGCAGTCTTGCATTAAGTATACAAACGATTAGTTAATTCGTAATTCGTATACAACCATATATGAATTAAGTATACGATTGATCATCCCGCTAGATCACCGGTAGCGGTAAAGAAGCAATTCAATTCAGTAGCACATTAGCTTAAGTGTTGTGAAGTTCAGCTCGTCTGAACTCTGAATTGCGTGTTTAGTGTGCATGATGAAAAACTCTGCCTAATGATTACTTAATGAAGTTTAGTTCATTGTGGTCAACTTAAGAGACAAATTTTCAACTAACTAATACTTTTTATAGGTCTAATTTTAATTGTTGAGTGAAAGGTGCAGACTTGCAACTTCCAAGTGATTAGGTACTTTATAGAAACTGAGCAAGTTAGCGTATGTGTTTTAAGCCTTTAAGAAGTTCATTTTTTGCCTCAAATAACAATGTTGGATAGAAAAAGTGGTCTTGGTGGATCAAAATAATATATGAACCTTCGAAATTAGAATTCCATCCTCGGTCTACCTCTAGTCCTCTACCTACTCTAATACTCTACTTATAGTTATAGGACTCAAAAATAAATTTGAAGAAAAGTCTATGAAAGTTGCTGCTCTGTCATTATGAGTATCAGGGTGCAGAGTTTGCAACTTGCAAGCTGTGTTGCCAAGATATGGATTTTTAGCCAAAATGTCACCAGCCATTTTCAAGATGCATCCCCCAGGTAATTTTTAAGAAGAAAATACTGCTAACAACTTTCATAGTATACCGTATCTGTTACTCTCTATGGACTGCAACACTTACACTCATTGCAACTGATTTCCGGACAAGCTTCACTGCATCCTGATCCATCCAACATACCAAAAACCTTACTGTGGTCTGTGTGAGCATGCATTCTTTCAAATTTTCAACTATTTTCTAAATAGTTGGCTGAAGGCTGGCAAATATGAAATATCTAAAATGCAGTAAGTAACTTCAATACAAATGTGTCAGCAAGATCTTCTGAAGGCATAAATTTTGCTGCTGATGCATCACCAAAGGATCTTGTGATATTCACCTACTTTCTGCACCCTGGTATAAATGTGGAAAACATCTACCTTTAGGTCCACAACTAGAACTTTCCTGCCATTTCCAAAACCGCGAGATTTCTGTCAGATGAATTACCTCCTGCCTAATTGTTAACAAAAAGGCACAATCGGGCTGCAAGATTCCAATTGTATTAAAATTTTGTCATGTTAGAGCCGCAAGATTTCATAAACAAGTAGAAAAATTTCAATCCTGCCCTGGTATGACTAAAACTAAAAAAGAGTAGACCATCTTTGTGTCTTTCAGTTGTGGCCTCTTGGGTCTGCCAGGCTGCAGAAAGTGGGTGAATATCAAAAGATATTTGGCAACACATCAGCAGCAAAATTACCACCTTTTGAAGATCTTGCCAACACATTTGAATTGAAATTATTGCAATTTAGAAATTACTTCAAAATTACTGCAAATCTGAGACTCCAAGTGCCCACAGTAAGGTTTGTGGTACGCCAGATGGATCAGGATGCAGTGAAGCTTGTCCAGAAATCAGTTGCTATGTGTGTAAGTGGTGCGGTGTGTGGAGAGAAAGGGATATACTATCACAGTTGCTTGCAGCATTTTCTTATTAAAAGTTATCCGATGATGGATCTTGAAAATGGCTGGCAATGCTTTGGGCTAAAAATCCATATCATGGCAACGCTGCTTGCACCCTGGCCAGAATGCAGACTGCAGAAGCCACATACAAATTATATGAAAAACCCTGCCTTTATTCTATGTGGCTATGCGCATGGGCAAATGTGTCCACTGTCCATTGCTGTAGATATTTTCTAATTTATTTTGTAGAAAAGAAAAAAAAATGCATATATCTGCCCATCAATTTGTTGAGTCTGCCATGAAAGAAATTGTTGTCACCTGTCATTTTTTTAAATTATGCTGCATATTCCAGATTAAACTATGGTATGACTATTATATTAAGACTTCAGAGTTAAAAAATTATTAAACAATTATACCATCAAGATTGATTTTTTGACCCAAAATGTTACTATTATGATCAGTATTGTTAATAATTTATTAACAGAACTGCTTTAATCCCAAACTGCATAATTGAATCAAAGCCACTGCTGAATGAGACATAAACTCCCAGCTGCACAGTAAATTTCACCCATTTTTTATGACCCATGTGGCTTTCCTAATTTTCTCTTTAGGAATAAGGCAAAATTAAATATTTAATAGTGCTTCTAATTTATAAAAATCACCATTGAACATATCATTTATATCTAAATTTGTGTCTTCATTTTCTCTCTTGTAAATGGGAAAATATTCAAAATTAGTTTAAACCTTTCAAATTTCTTGCTAATAATAAATGTACGTAAAGAGGCCTCTTTGGAATATCAGGCAGAAGTTTTCTACAAACACTGGAAAAAACTGTCCTATTTAGGGTGATTTTAAAAAAATCATTGGAGAAAATAGGCAGTTTTTCTTATCATTTCCTGAAAATTTTGGAGGAAAGGCTCTAGGAATGGGTAAAATTGGCTAAATTAACAGGTGTTTTTGCCAATTCATGGGATGGCTCTAGCCAATTTTTCGCTGAGGTAAAGAGTTATATATTGAAAAATATGTCAGCAAGATCTTATAAAATAGATTATGATGCTAATGTGTTACCAGCAAGCTTCAGAAATTTGCTCTTTCTCTGAACCGCAAGATAATCCTTGGCACGAATAATTTCCATGCTAATTTTTGATAAAACTGCATAATTGAGCCATTTAAATTTAAAATTTTCCTAAATACCTACACAACTTAGGTCATTGCTCTGCCTTAGAGTTCAGTTAGAAATGATAATTAAGATTTTTTTCCTACATGGATGGCAGCTCATTTAGTAAAAATATACATTTTTTTCAGTGTCTGCTTCAAGTCAGATAGGGTAACTGATAATCTTTGTATACCTATAAATTTTCCCACACTAAAATCATGTATTACAGTTTAACTAGATAACCCTAAAATTTAGCTTAACCTTCTATTTATCTTAGATTATTTTTTCAAATTGTCATGGCTTTCATGCACAGTTCAGTGATGATCACCTCAATATAATTATATATTTAATTTATCATTGGGTTCAAAATAATCCCCTACTAGCTTTTGAAGCTCTAAGTTAAAGTCATGTTTGCCACTATGTATCCAAGATAAGCTAGCCAATGAAAAAAAAAAAATATTTCACTCCACAAATGCTAGATTGCATCATTTTCATAATTAGTCACTCAATCATTATCAAATTTTGAAATTAGTTAACCATCATTGTTCCATAATAAATTTTTAATCTAGTACAGATATCCCTTCATCTATATATTTGATACCTATGCTATAAATCAATTAGGTATATTAAATCCAATTTAATTTCAGTTGCCAAAACATCTGCTGGCCAAGTTGGCACAAGAATTTTGTGTCAAGAAATGGAGCATCAGGACGGATACCTCATGAGTCGGCAGCCATTCTACCTCCGTCTTCATGATGCTTCAAGTGCCGCCCCCCTCGTTATCAAGAGCGATTTTTCCTCTGATGAATTGTCTTCTTCAATGGTAGTATGAATTTCTTAGCATTCATTTTTTTATTTAAAGTTATTGGTTTAAATTACTAAAAAATATAAAATATTAAATTACCAAATAAAATAACTAGTGAAAACAAAATTGATACTAGATTTATTTTTGATCAATATTTAACAGGCATTTATCTATAATATATTAAATCAATTGAAGAATACTTTTGTTTTATAAATGGATTTTAATAGAAACATATTTTTTATATTACTTATTTTCCTACAATATTCTATTAACTGTATGTTCCTCACTACCTATAATCATTATTTAGCACCATAACTGTCAGTAATCAAAGTCTGTGTGGATTAAATGTATCTTTAAATTACTCAAATACTTATTTATTAAATGCTTTCAGTTCCCCAAAGGCGACAAGAGCACAGTACTGTCAACTGAGGTGACTTTGGCCAACATTTATTATTTTGTTTTGCCGCCATTTGTTTCTGTTGTAGTGGTGGCCAAAGTCATCCCAGTTGACAGTATTTCCTTTAGTCATATGATGTCTATGCAACATTATGGTACTTTTTTAATTAGGTACTTAATATGATTACTTATTACTGATTCTGTATGATATTTTTGATATTTTTATCAAACTTGTCAACAAAATGAGCGGATTTTAATCTCTAGAACTAAGCAGATATACAATAGTACATTGTACAGGATTTACTCCTAGGTAATATTTGTTTTTTATTCTTCATGAGATGGTTTGATCCATAACTATTACATCCTCGCAATGGATGATAAAAGTAACTTCTTCTTAAATATTCATTAGGTTATTTCCTTAACAAGTGATGAATATAAATTATGTCAGGGCTCTCTATCTTATTCTTTTGTATTTCTGATAGGTACAGCTATATTCATTATTATGAATGGTGGTAAGTTTTAATGTGATATTTATTTAATTCAAAATTGGTGCAATTTATTCAGGGTAAAAGAATACTTTTATAAGGAGAAAATGTCTTTTGCGCTAAAAAAACTTAATGGGTAATTGTTGACTTTGTCTGCTTATAAGACAAGCAGAGAGCCGACATTGCATTGACACAATATTTTTGCTGTGGCAAAATGGGTCAAGACCCAACAGTGACAAAAAATAAACCACTATAGAGACAAAATCTCATTTTCTTGAGCTTGTTTTCAATTGATTTAATCATGTTCATGTTAATTGAACATCATGTTAATTCCATTGATTTTCAATATATGTAATCATGTGCAGGAAGTTGATGCTGAGCATCTCATCCCCGACTGCATCATCAAGGATGAACCTCCATCACCGCAGCCCAGCAAACCTGACCCTGGAAAGCCACTGGAATCACCCGCCCGAGAAGAGGAAATTTCTCCAAAAAACAACTCAGAAGAAGCAGGAATGCTGAGTGACTTGGAAGATGACTTCTTAGACAACATTTTGGATCTTAAAGAACCTTCTCCTCCAAACTATGAAGAAAAAGTGAAGCTTGAGAAATGGGGCAATGATCCTGCTGGAAATGGGTCAAACCATGAGAAATGGGGTAATTATTCTGCTGGAAATGGGTCAAAGCATGAGAATTGGGGCAATGATTCTGCTGGAAATGGGTCAAAGCATGAGAAATGGGGCAATTATTCTGCTGGAAATGGGTCAAAGCTTGAGAATTGGGTCAATGATCCTGCCGGCAAGAAAGCGGATATAAAACGAGTCATCGGCTTTGGTGGCAATCGGAGAGAATATTGCGATTTCTGTAACTTCTCCACCATGAATGCAGACATTTTAACTCGTCATATTGAACTTAAACACAAAGGCCAGGAGCGTTCACATCTCTTTTGCCAGCTCTGCGACTACTGGACCGTCTACCGCACAGACTTCAACAAGCATCTCACGGAGGACCATATGAACCCAAATGGTTTATTCTTCTGTCCTAAGTGCAGTTATACATCAGATTGCAAGGCCAATTTATACCGACATTTTAACACGCACAATAAAAAATATGTCTACAAATGTCCGTTATGCAGCTTCGTATGCTCCGGAAACCTGGGCAGACATGTTCGCTCACAACATGGAGTCGAACTCTTGAAGTGTCCGAAGTGTCATTTTGCTACCTGGAGTAAAATAAAACTAGAAGATCACATAAACTCTCATCTTGGCCGCAATAAAATGGTATGTACTCTATGTAACTGGAGTACATTCTTCAGGCAGAGCTATGCTAAGCACATGCATCACTACCACAACAATCCTGCCACAGCGGGGGGCGACTTTCCCGGTATAGGGGCCGAGCAACAGCGAGATATTGTCGAGATAATTCAGTCCTAAGACTACCGTGTACCGTGATCCCTCTACCGTGTATCAAATCTGTAC